TCCCTCCATCATAAAGCTTACAGCAAATGGAATTTTGTCACTATCTTGTTATGTCAAGTTTTGCTGCTGCTACTGTCCCTCCATCATCCACCCAAAAGCTTGCAGCAAATGAAATTTTCTCACCATTTTGTCAAGTTTTGCTGGCTTCATCCACCCAAATGCCGCCTTATGCCTGTAGCTAGTTAGGAAAAAATATTTCTGTAAAACTTTGGCCCACAAATTTCCAGAAACCAGCTGGTGTGGACAAAAAAGAGTTCCTACATCACTGCTCTTAGCAAGTGGAACAACTCTGCCAAGCTGGTGACCTTGACCCTCATGGCCTCTTACTTTTTCACTGTGGCCAGGCCCAGAGCAGCGGAAGTTTTTTTTCTATTGGCCACAATCAGGGCCCTGGTGGCCACTTGGTGCAACAGCATCCCAACAGCCTTCCAGTTCATTGGGGAGATCATTGTTAACACTTCACGTATGCAGGTAACATGGGGGAGATCATTGTTAACACTTCGTTTATGCAGGTAACATTGGTCTAGCTAGTCAGTGGGAGACTTAGACTTGTGTCTAGTCTAGGTGTGTTTATATCTCACTGGGTATCACCACTGCGGGCAATCAGAAATCTCTATTAAAGTTTCTTTTTCCTCCTAGTAACAGTCAGTGGGTGACTTAGACTTGTGTCTAGTCTAGGTGTGTTTATATCTCACTGTGCATCATATCACCACTGCGGGCAATCAGAAATCTCCATTAAAGTTTCTTTTTCCTCCTAGTAACAACCTAGCTTAACAAAAAAAATGAACATAACAAAATATACTTTTTCTTGTTTACTCAAGCAACTTTGAGCTTTGTCTGATAAGAAGGCTGAAACCAAGATTGAAATCCATTGATGTTGAAAGTTTTATTGAGTTATATTGATGGTGAAAGTTTCCTAATGGTCAATTTCTAAGTTTAAATAGCTTCTTCAGTGTTCAGTGGTGTCATTCCTTTCATCATTCAACTTAACACACAATTAAGGAAAATATTTTTACTTTAATGGCTGGGAATTCTGATAAATATTGGAATATTTGTCATTACTAATACAATACTCTATTAGAAATTGCTTATTTTTTAAAGATTGCTTTTGAGGAGGATGTACATTACATTTCTATATCACCAGCTAATTTTACTTTGCGAGATTGTCTAACAGGCATGAACTATCCAAACAACAAACTGTTCCAAATATTTAGTATTTTTAGTTCTACTGGGAGTGATATTTTTATTTCTCATCTACCAATCTACTGATATTAAAAAGGAACTTGAGTAGTTTTTTGCTCTATAGTACATTTGATCTAAGCGGTGGATGTGTCAGTACACCATGGGTGTCACATGTTTATGCCTGACTACTATAGATGTTGGTGCATTGTGAAAACACCCACTTACTTGTCAAAACAAATACCTTGCTCATTATTTTGCTTTGAGTGTTATATACAGCCCTGCTGTGTTCCTCCTACATCCACTTTATTCCAAATTTGATGTTATTTACAACCCCCCTCACCCCCAATCTACTTTATGTAAAATTTGATAAAACCTGGCTTCAAATGTAATATATCTTCTCTAAATAGAGTCTCTTTATTATATACCAACATGCATATCTTGTGGTAAAGGTCAAGGTTATTAAAAATAAATTGTATTTATTTTTAAAATAACCTTTTCCTCTTACTATATATATCAGGGGTGATGTTTTCCTGAATGCTTTAAAATTCAACCTTACTGCTTACTCCCCTTTAAACCACCTGCCCATGCGTGGAAATTAATTCCTCGAGACTTACCCACACACAGAAGAGAGGTGAAGTTGGTAAGAAGAGGCTACAACATCAACGCAGTCAACCGCTGGAGTGATCTGTTCAAGCTGCAGACCTTTGTCCTGGCCAGCATCTACTTCCTCGGCACCCAGCAGCCGCGCGTAGACAAGTTCTACTTCCTTTTCATCTACTCCAAAGTCTTGGCTGACACCTGGTCCTTCTATCTTGTCTCGGCATCCTATGCCATACTAGAGACATCTGTTGTCCTGAGTCGATTAATGGTAAACTCATTCAGGCTTCATTTTGTCTTGTGTAGGGGTAAATTTATAAAGGCTTCAGTTTGTTTTATTAATGGTAAATTTATAGAGGCTTCAGTTTGTTTTGTGTAATGGTAAATTTATAAAGGCTTCAGTTTGTCTTGTGTAATGGTCGATTTATAGAGGCTTCATTTTGTCTCGTGTAATGGTCAATTTATAGAGGCTTCATTTTGTCTTGTGTGACGGTAAATTTATAGAGGCTTTATTTTGTAATGGTAAATTTATAAAGGCTTCAGTTTGTCTTGTGTAATGGTAAATTTATAGAGGCTTCAGTTTGTCTTGTGTAATGGTAAATTTATAGAGGCTTCAGTTTGTCTTGTGTAATGGTAAATTTATAAAGGCTTCAGTTTGTCTTGTGTAATGGTAAATTTATAAAGACTTCATTTTGTCTTGTGTAATGGTAAATTTATAAAGGCTTCAGTTTGTCTTGTGTAATGGTAAATTTATAAAGACTTCAGTTTGTAGTGGTAAATTTATAAAGACTTCAGTTTGTAATGGTAAATTTATAAAGGCTTCAGTTTGTCTTGTGTAATGGTAAATTTATAGAGGCTTCATTTTGTCTTGTGTAATGGTAAATTTATAAAGACTTCATTTTGTCTTGTGTAATGGTAAATTTATAAAGGCTTCAGTTTGTCTTGTGTAATGGTAAATTTATAAAGACTTCAGTTTGTAGTGGTAAATTTATAAAGACTTCAGTTTGTAATGGTAAATTTATAAAGGCTTCAGTTTGTCTTGTGTAATGGTAAATTTATAGAGGCTTCAGTTTGTCTTGATTAAAGTTAAATTTATAGAGGCTTCTATCTTTCATAATTTATGGTACATTTATTCAACCTCATTCTGTCTAGTGTAATAGTAAATTAATAGGTAAATTTGATTATATCACTTTTAAATTGACTTGAGTTCAAATATCAAACAAATGGTAGCTGAAATTGTTTATGACTGAATGCTGACTAATTTAAGTATACTTTTCTTGGTATAGTTATTGGGCTCCTTATATTGGTGGTGTGATTGATAAGTCTATAAAAATTTGTCTGCTTCGCCTCTTTTTTGTAAATTAGATTATAATATCTAACTTCTACACCAAGCATCTAAATTCTACACCAAGCATCTAAATTCTAAACCAAGCATCTAAGTTCTACACCAAGCATCTAAATTCTACACAAAGCATCTAAATTCTACACCAAGCATCTAAATTCTACACCAAGCATCTAAATTCTACACCAAGAATCTAAATTCTATACCAAGCATCTTTCTTCTTCTTCTTCTTCGTTCTTAATTATTAGTGTTGAAGGGGATCGAGATTTATCTGCCAGTGGGTTTGAACTCGAGACTTTGTTCGAATTTATCAACCATGAGCTTTTTGCCGACTCGACCACGCCTCCAACACAATTAAGCGTTACGTGTCAACTGGTTATGCCCCATTGAGGCCATTGACTCCGATTTCAGCCTGCTTTTCTTTTTGGATTTGCTTCCATAGCCTTTGTCCAACCAAGAACAATCTACAAGGCAGCAGTTGTTTAATTTTGGAGTTGTCTCTCCTAGAAGAGTGGCTGTCCCCAGCTAACGAGCCTCATCTGCCCGAGGGTTCGAACTCGAGACATTTCGGTTTAGCAAATCAAGCATCTAAATTCTACACTGTTAATACAAAAGTTAAGACAATAGATGAAAGCAGAATTTGTTATTCCTATGTTTAAATTTACATTAGGCCTAATTTTCATTTTTCAAAGAACAAGCTCTGAATCACTATGTTTTAAGCTTGTAAATCAAACAAAATCATATTTTAAATTTTGTGCTTCTGCTTCTCTGTCATAAGTAGATACTCATATTTTCTGCTTTTATTTTTATTTTTTTACTTTCTCGTATATACGAAGTATAGAGAAAGTCTTGTTTTTTATGTGGATGTGTAAAGAATTTTTATCCAATTGGATGTTTGTTAATTTCACTAAAATAATCTTTTTTTTTTCTGCTATCACAACTTTTAATTGAAAAAAAACAATCTGGTACCATGATTAAATGATTGAGAAAACAACTTGTATGTATTTGGTACCATCATTGAGAAACAACCTCTATATATTTGGTATCATCAATGAGAAACATGTATATATCAGGTACCAACATTGAGAGAACAAACTGTATTTATCAGGTCCCATGACTGGGGAACTCTGTACTTATTACCAGTTTCTGTACTTATTACCAGTTTGTTTTGATCCGTGCTGCCCTATTAAGTTTCACAAAAGCTCTTGCCCATTGTTGACAAAGGCTCTTGACCATTGTTTACAAAAGCTCTTGCCCATGATTAAAAAGATCTCCAGGATGTGTTTATCTGTGCAGCCCATCCTTCACTTGACTAACAGTCTTGCTCTAGCAGCTTGTTTATTTGATCATACAATATATCCACATTTCTTGACCTTTGCACTACTAATCCTGCAAACATTTGTATAATCTCTCTTGTGCTTTTCAATGCAGTAGATGTTCTATTTATTTTTTCTGTTTGAAATCCCTTTCACCTTACTTTTAGTTGCTAAACATTCTGGGCGTAGAATCTTGGCTTGCTTATTTCTTTTTGTTTTGTTTCATGATTTGTTGTGTAGTATTTTTATAATGCTCATGTCTGGATGCTTCATTAACCCCATGAGGACGAGATTTCAGGGCCTTTTTTGAGTTAATCTTTGTAGTATAGGAAGTAGTTTTTCCACTCATCAATAGTACTACATTGCATGATCATGATCTTGATTATGCAGACAATGAAATGATTTATCCCAAATTAGGCTGCAGTGAAAATAAAATTCTAGACTTTAAAAGTGTAGTCGTGTATATTTGCAGAAATATTCTGCTTGAAGCACTGAGATCTTGCTTAGTGGGGGTGACCTCACATTTTTCACCCATTGAAGAAAAAAAAATTTGCCCATTCCAGCAATGAATTAAGTCTAGTCTGGAGGCAGAAGCAGCTGACGGCCTACACTGCCACCGTGTGGGTGGTGATGCACAGGCTGCTGTATTACAGCCTGGCAATTGGCATCCTCCTGACAGGGACCTGGCACTCTCTCAGACCCGCCGTCCTGTATCAGGCCACCCCCCTCCTCTTTCTCCTGGCCTATAACCTGGTGGGGTGTGTGTTTGAGGCTGTTAGGACCTGCGGGGAGTTTGTTACTGCTCAACGCAGAATCCAGGTAACCTCTGGGCTTGCGTCACTGTACCACTTAAACACCCCCCCCCCCCTCTCAGTTTTCTTAAAAACATAATACAACTCAATTGCATATAAATATACGTTTGATCATGAACTTAGAATTAAAACAAAAACTGTTTACATATTTTCTTTCAGTTCACCTTCGATTTCAACAAGTTTCTGATACATTGTCGTTTGTTTCTCACTTTATTTGGTAGATTTAAATCCACTTCAAGATACTGTAGTCCTTTTGCATAAATTAATGTAATTATTAAAACCTCCTGTGTTATAGTTACAGTGTTATACTTAAAAGGGGAAAATGTTACTGTTGTAAAATAGTTTTGCACCAAAATATTATATTCCACTGTTAGCTTGGCTTCTGTTTTGTCTTTGTACTGCAAGGTCAGCAACAGTAGAAGCAAGGAATATGTTGTAAATGTAGGGCCTACATGTTTGGTAGTGTTGTATTTTGTGTTGGAGACTAAACCTTGAACATGTTTCTTATACAAGTTCTGACTGTTTACATCTTATTGGGTGTGGTAGTCTATTCCTTACCCTTAAGTCAAATAATTCATTCAGTCATAAGGGGATAGAAGTTCTCCTAGTGTTACGTGGTGTTGTGTGATACTCTATTCCTTACCCTTAAGTCAAATAATTCATTCAGTCATAAGCTGTATTTTTGGTATTGTCTGGGTTATTTCTTACTTACCCAAACAATTATTGTAGTAACATACTTCAGCTTTGCTGCAATTTATTCTCATACATTGCAATTTGTGGCTGAATTTATTTCTGTAAAGTTTGTTTCTTTCCTCTATTTAGTGAACATATACACCACTAGATCAAGAAATTGTTAAACTGTTTCAGTTTTTTCTTATAGATCTTGTTTTTCATTAGACAAGTTGTGCAACTCTTAAATGTTTCAGGTGATTTGGGTTAAGCTAGTTATAAATCTACTGCAGTTGTCGTGTATACATTGTTTTGTGGGTTTAGGTTAAAATACTGAGCTACCCTAACCTTAAGAGCAACTTGAGACGTATTGGGAAGGTGAAAGGTCACTGTGCTGACCTAAGAGGTGAAAGGTTACTGTGCTGACCACAAGAGGTGAAAGGTTACTGTGCTGACCTCAAGAGGTGAAAGGTCACTGTGCTGACCTAAGGATTGAGTTCCTTTATTTTCTTCCTCTCACCTCCAGTGCACAATTAAAAAATTTTTTTTAAATTTTAAATTCTTTCTAATACTGTCACAATTCTATTCCACTGTAGATGTGGTAGTTTTGTATCTAGATAATGTATCTCTGTGGATAGAATACTTTTATCTTTTGCTGTAGCACCGTTAAGCATCAGACTTTCTTTTTTACTTTATTAATATTTTTTAAAATTAAAATAAATATACTAACAAATGTTTATAGAGTTGAATCATAACTTTTTCTACATAACACAGGTGTTAGGGTTACATATAAACTTCTCTGCTGTTGTCTCTTCATACCTTTTTAAAGTTTCAGCTGTTGAATTTTTCCTACCTATGTTAAACAGGTTGCACAATCACTCAGATCTATACATTATATGTTTACAAAATGTGACTGTTTGTCCTGTTGGCATTATCTGGTAGTTCTCACCCCTAGTGTGCTGGTGTAGTTATAAAATTGTGTTTACTGGGATTTAAATTTTAGTGTCATCGTCTTGATGCGTCAGTTCATGATAAGTTCAACTTTTCATAAAAGACAGGTTTTTAAAAAATTGTGTTCACATAACATTTTTCTTTTTAAGATTGTTATCATTTAGTTTTCAAGTTTTGATTTACATTCTGTTTGATCTTTTAAATGTTATCACACAATTTGTGTGAGCTAAGTGCTACTCACAGCCAATTTTTAAGCACTTTTCTTGACTCACAAGCCAAAAGAGATTTTTCTTCTATAGAATAAATGGATTGAAATAGGGTTAGCTTCTAGTCTTTTACCCAATAAATCCTTTACCTGGTTTGAAAGGAGGTGGCTCAAAATAAATGCCAATGTATTATATGACAATAAGACAGCTAGTTTACCCACTGTCTTATATGACAGCTCCTTAGGTACCCATTGAGAATGACTGTCTTACATGACAGCCCCTTAGGTACCCATTGAGAAGCACTGTCTTACATGACAGCAACTTTAGGTACCCATTGAGAAGCACTGTCTAACATGACAGCACCATTAGGTACCCATTGAGAACATCTGTCTTATTTGACAGCACCACTAGGTACCCATTGAGAACCTCTGTCTTATATGACAGCACCACTAGGTACCCATTGAGAACATCTGTCTTATTTGACAGCACCACTAGGTACCCATTGAGAACCACTGTCTTACATGACAACTCCTTTAGGTACCCATTGAGAACATCTGTCTTATTTGACAGCACCACTAGGTACCCATTGAGAACCACTGTCTTACATGACAGCTCCTTTAGGTACCCATTGATAACCACTGTCGTACATGATAGCTCCTTTAGGTACCCATTGAGAACATCTGTCTTATTTGACAGCACCACTAGGTACCCATTGAGAACCACTGTCTTACATGACAGCTCCTTTAGGTACCCATTGAGAACCTCTGTCTTATATGACAGCACCATTAAGTACCCATTGAGAACCACTGGCTTACACACAGTAATTAGCAGTAATTAGCTACGGTGATCATCAAACTTTTTTTTTAAAGTTTGTTTCAGTTAATGTTTTTCAATTTTAAGAATGAGTTACATTTTTTTTTCAATTTTACCAATATGTTAATTTTTCATCTTGTGAACAGAAATTTTTGCTGCTTGAGGAACTAGAGCATTCCTCTAATGTGGAGCAAACAGACTTGAAACAAGATGATGAGAAATGCTACGTACAGTTGAAAGATGTTTCTGCCAGATGGGATGGGGTAACTCATACAAACTAGTTTTATGACAATAATTAAATTCCATTTTATTTTATCAATTAAAAATGATTTAGTTATTTGGCTTTAATGTTTGAAAAAAAAAAATCTGTGTTAATTAATGTTATGGTTTTTATTAATGTTATTTTTTTACTTGTAGAGTAATCATTCAGAAAACAAAACTCTTGAAAATGTAACTTTGGATGTTGAGCCAAGAAAACTTGTTGCAGTTATTGGCCCTGTTGGATCTGGAAAAGTAAGTGGTAGCAAAGAGTATGTTTTAAATTAATGAAATGATACTGGCTATTTAAAAAAAAAATCTGTATCTTAGCTTTCCTCTTAAGAACCATAAAAAATGGATGTTAAGAGCTTTCATTATATGAAGAATACTAAGAATAAAAAAACTTTGTTAAAAATTATTTTTTTTTGTTATATCATCTTTTTTAGTCCTCCCTGCTTATGACCATCCTGGGAGAGCTTCCAGCACTGTCAGGGACCATCAAAGTCTCAGGGAAGGTGGCCTATGTGTCCCAGCAACCCTGGATCTTCTCCGGCAGTGTCCGCCAGAACATCGTCTTTGGTGGCGTCTATGACAAGGCCAAGTACGACCGTATTGTTAAAGTTTCAGCATTGAAAAGGGTAAGTTTCTTCCTTCATCTGGGTTTTTATATATTTTACCAGAAAGTAACACTGAAGATGGCAAGGCAAGCTGAGTGGTGAAAAGAAAAGGAAAAACTAGGTTCACATTCAAGCATTTGATAGTCTAGATTGGTTACGATAAATTAAACAGCTCAAGAAATCGAATTATGAACAAGCACAATAAGGACGGTGTGGTTGAGTGGTAAAGCACTTGACTACTAACCAGAAGGTCTCAAGTTTGTATCTCTGTCTGGCACTTGTTTGTAGAGTCTCCCTGAGTCCACCCAGCTCTGATGGGTGCCGGACTCATTTTAGGGATAGTAAAGGTGGCTGGGCATTGTACTGACCACACCATCTTTTTATATGATGTGGTCAAGAAATTTATGAACTCTAATTAAAGTTCATATATTAAATCTGAAAAGAGAAGTACCTACTTACTATACAAACTATTTATTTTTTACATTATAGTATTTTAAAATTTCTGTAGTTTATGTTAAAAATGTAGCATGTGCTTGGCATTACCTAAAAAGAAAAATTTAAACTTTTTAAAAACTGTATTTTAAAAGGTGAACAATTTTTTTTGTTCTTTCCTCAGGATTTTGAAATAATGCCTCAAGGGGACGCCACTCTCATTGGTGACAGGGGAGTAAGTCTGAGTGGGGGTCAGAGGGCACGAATATCACTAGCCAGAGCCTTGTACATGGATGCGGATATTTATTTACTGGATGACCCACTTAGTGCTGTGGATACTGCTGTTGGGAGACACATTTTTGAAAAGTAAGGAACAAAAGTACAGCTTGAAATTTAATTCACTTTAATTTGGAAGTAATATTTCTTTACAGACTTTGATATTAGAATTTTTGTCATTTTCTCCACCTAGACCGGTTGAATATTCTTTATTTGCAGGTGTATTATAGGTTATTTAAAGAAAAAGCCAAAAATTCTTGTTACACATCAAGTGCAATTTTTGCCTGTTGCTGATACCATATATATTCTTAAAGAGGTTTGTTGTTTTTTTTTAGTTTTTTTATATATGGACCTATTGTTGTTTGCATTTGGTTTAATTTTACTAAAATGTGCTGCAACTACTATCATGATAAAAGAAAATGTAGAATTAATAAGTATACACTTGTTATCAAATCGCAAACTGGCATACAAATGAGTTTTTTGCATTTATGCCACATACAGATTTTCAAAGTATAACCAAGTAAATCAGAATGACAAAAAAGAATAAATATCACATCAATTCACAACAAATTTGAATATTATTTTCAGGGTAAAATCAACAGCCAAGGTTCTTACGATGAGTTGTCAAGGTCGGGTGTAGATTTCTCAGAACTTTTGAAGAGACCAGAAGATGAGGAACCATCTTCCCCCACGACTGGCTCCGTCATTGAGGCGCTGCCAGTGGCGTCAGAAATTTCTGAGTTTGGGTCACACCTGTCTTTACACAGCACTGTGGAAGCATACGAGGTGAGTACACATCTTGCCTGCTCAACTCATTTAAATGTTTCTTTCATGCATTTTGGGCATGGTGTGGTTCAGGCATCTTGGCAATGGTTTGGTCCAGGCACCTTGCGAATGGTGTGGTTCAGTGGTAGAACACATGTTGATTACCTTAAAGTCTGGAGTTTGAGGCACAAGTCTGAGCTCACACAGCTTTGATGGTTGTTGAACCAATCAGAGAAAGTAAAAAAATACAGCTGTGCATAGTGCTGACCACAGTACACTTTCTTTTGATGAACTAAAGAAACAGATGAACTCTACTTCTACCTTTGTATTAAGTCTGAAATCATTTGATTAAAATTATTATCAGAACTTTTATATTGGGGGGAAAAAAATATTTTTGTTCTCTATAATAAATATTTTTGTGATTTTTAAAACCTGAGAGTTACATGTTTTCACCACCTGAAGAGTTCCATGTTTTGATCACATGAAGAGTAATGTCACTTTGTTCCAGCCTGAACCAGTTCAGCTGCCAGAGACAGAAGAGAGGGCATCTGGAACTGTTGGCCTCAGGGTGTATGTGGATTACTTCAAGGCTGGGGCTGGCATCTTCAAGTTTACAGTCCTGGTCCTCATCAACATAGCAGCACAGGTCTTCTATATTGGCAGTGACTGGTGGCTCTCTAGATGGTCAGCTTTTTTTTTAACCCTTTGGGGGCTGTCTAATAAGTTCCTTGATTAACTCTATGCTGGTTGTCTAAAAGTTCTTTTGTTTAACCTCTCTGGTGGTTGTCTTATGAATTCTTTGGTTTAACCTCTCTGGTAGTTGTCTTATGAATTCTTTGGTTTAACCCTCTGGTGGTTGTCCTAAAAAATATAATAAATTCTTTGGTTTAACTCTCCGCTTACTGTCTATAAGTTCTTTGGTTTAAGCCCGACCCCCCCCCCCCCTCCAGCTTACTGTCTGTGTTCTTGTTTAACCCTCTGATGATGAATTTGTTTAACCAACTGGTGGTTGTCTAGCTGAGCTCATTTTTAACCCTCAGGGGGAACATCTAATTGGTATGCTCACTTTAAACCCTCTGATCACTGTCTAGTTCAGATTTTTTCTTGTTAAACCCTGTTGTTGAGCTTATTTTAAGTTTACTGATGGTTGTATGATATTCTGGAACACATGTAATGTGTCATGGTATTTGCTAGCATTGTATTTATGCATGACTTTATGCTGATTAAACTAGACTTTACATCTCATGTCAACAAAGTAGGCCTACTCAGTATTGTAAATATATATTCCTCAACAATTTCTACCTTTAAAATTTTTTTTTTTAAAAATCACTTTTTAATTTTTCTTATATTAGGTTTTTAATTTAATAGTGAGATTTTTATTATTAATTTAATTATTTAACATATTTCTCTTATACATCAAATTGATGTATCCCATAAAAAAAGTTTATTCTAGAATATTTCCATACAACTTGTTGAAGATGTTGTTTATATGTTGCGTAGGTCAAACCAAGAAGAAACAAAATATGCTGCTATTGAAAAACAGCGCCGCTTCATGGATGAATTCAACATCACAGACATCAACAACAGCAGCATCAGTAGCAACATCACCATCCCCTACGTGGACAGCCACTTCAACATCTACGTCTTCACTGGCATCATTCTGGCTGTGTTTTTGTTTGGGCTCGCCAGAGCACTGCTATTCTTCAAGATAGCTGTGGACGCATCTCAGAAGCTTCATAACATGATGTTTACAAGAATTCTGCGATCACCAATTTCTTTTTTTGACACCAATCCAGTTGGTAAGAATTGTAAACAAAAATAGTTTGCTCATTTGACAAGTATTTGCCAATATTATTAATAACTACTTTTATAATCGCGATCTGTTATCTCCCCTACACTGAAACTTTTAGAAGAAGTCTCTATATTAATAATGCACCCTAACTAGGCCATATAATCAGTCAATATTCCACGTATTGATCCTAGATCTACTTAATGTTTTTATACTAAACTCATTATTAATTTAACATTATGAATTACTACTGAATGGTGATTAAAATACATTTCTCAGATATAAGTGTTCTTTTTGACAATAAGATATTTGAATGTGTTTTATGTGATTTTATTATTATTTGGTCAGGTCGAATCTTGAACAGGTTTTCAAAAGATATAGGTCACATGGATGATCTTCTACCTGTGACTTTTTTTGACTTCATTCAAGTAAGTTTCCAACCAAATTGTATTTGTGCAGTACTCTACTAGATTGTAATCAACATTCTTTGTTGCTTTTAATGAATCGCTATATATTGCTTTTTTATGTTTTGACTTTGTAATTTTTTAACATATATTGATTCATGACTAATTAGTAATATTTTTATTTTACCCAGTGTGCCTTGCTGATTCTAGGAATTGTGCTGGTTGCTGGCATTGTTAACCCCTATGTGTTCATACCCACAGTCCCCCTGGCCATTTTATTCGTCATAGTCAGGAAGTATTACCTGCAGACTTCCAGAAGTATAAAACGATTAGAGGGCACAAGTATGTTCAGATGTTATCTTTATCAACTTAAAAATCTGGCAACTTCATAGTCTGAGGAACAGAATTTTTAAAAATGGCCAGATTTTTTATGATTACCAAAACATACCAACTTTCTACTGAATAAAATAAAAGCCTATAGTCGCCAGATTTGTTTATGATTTCCAAAACTTACCAACTTTCTACCAAATAAAATATAAGCCTACAGTATTTTATTCAACTAAATACAAAATGTTATAGAGAATTTTGATTCAACTTAATAAAAGTTTGACAGACATTTATTTCACCTGATAAGAAAATTCTATGCCATGAAAGCTAATGAGCCAAAAAGTGAGTATCTGAATAAACATTTGCCGTGTATCTATTCCAGCCCGCAGCCCTGTGTTCTCCTACCTCAGTGCCACACTTCAAGGGCTCCACACCATCAGGTCCATGAAAATGGAGGAGAAATTTATGGAGGAGTTTGATGCTTACCAGGATAAGCACTCGGAAGCCTGGTTTCTATTTTTAGCAACCAGTCGCTGGTTAGCTGTGCGTCTGGATTGGTTGTGTGCCATGTTTGTTTCTGCTGTTACCATCTGTTCAGTTTTGGCTGCGGAAAGTAAGTCCTTGAGCACAAATAGTAATAATTTTTTTAATTGGCTGCGGAAAGGAAGTCCTTCTGTAAGCTATTTCACAAAATTTCATTCTCTAAAACTATGTACATTAATGTCATTAATTAACAAATTGAATTTCTCACTACTTTTTTTTAAAAAATGAATATTTTTTTCAATTTCGCTATTTGTTACAGAATTGTTTTCTTTAATGAATGTTTTTTTCTCCTCAACTTAGCCATGAACGCTGGTTTGGTTGGGTTGTCTATAACTTACACAATGACATTGATGGGCATGTTTCAGTGGGGAGTCAGGCAAAGTGCTGAAGTGGAAAATCAAGTCAGTTTGGTTTTTTGTTTTCTTCAGGTTTTAATTAGCTTATATATTAATTTATCCAGTACAACATATGGTTACGTATGGATTTGTGTTCAAACTCTAGTCATATGCTTAGTATCTGCTCAGTAACACTTAGCTGAGGGAGAGGGGGGAAGGCATGGTGTCGTGAGTAGACCGGACACTCTACTGCACTGAGTAGACTGGACACTTTGCTGCACCTTAGTCCTGAGTCTTTAGAAACAAAAACTCGTCTTCACTGTACACATAGTTCTCAAGTCTGTTTTATTATTTTTTATCATGAAAACACCTGTGAGTTGATTTAGTTCTTAGGCTATAGTATTACTATTAACCTTTTTTCAGATGATTTCAGTGGAGCGAGTGCTGGAATATTCCAGACTGCCCCAAGAGGCAGAGCTTGATTCAGCACCTGACAAGAAACCTCCGCCCTCCTGGCCAGCCAGCGGAACCATCACCAGCAACAATGTCAGCCTACAGTACTCTCCTGGTGGTCCTCTGGTCTTGAAAGATTTGACATTCACCATTCATGGGCGCGAAAAGGTAGCTCTTGTCATTGCAAACATTACCTGTTGTCCATTTTTATCTGTTGTCAAATCATTTTTACCCGTTGTCCATCTTTATCTGTTGTCAAATCATTTTTACCTATTTTTATCTGTTGTCAGATAATTTTTAACTGTTGTCCATTTTTATCTTTTCTCAAATCATTTTTACCTGTTGTCCAACTTTATCTGTTGTCAAATATTTTTTTTAACTTTTTTTTTTGTTATATGACTATCTTAAGTTGTCTGTACATAGCCTGTATATATTTTTCCTAAAGAATATCAAACATTTTTAAAGTCCCCAGTCAAAAACAGTTTAAACTTAATAATCATAACCTGCTTGAAGAGTGTACAGTTTAAGGAAATATGATTTTTAAATTTCCCTTGATAAACTCGAAAAAAATGTAACTTAACTAAACTAATTCAGTTTTGATATTGATTATTAAATTTGATACATGATATTTGAACTTGGTGAAATATTTATTTTTCCCTCTAGATTGGAATAGTGGGTAGAACAGGTGCTGGTAAAAGTTCCTTGATTACAACCCTGTTCCGCATGGTTGAACCACAGGGCAGCCTGTATATTGATGGCATTGACATACAGGCTATTGGCCTGCACGACCTCAGGAGCACAATCTCAATCATCCCTCAGGTACAATCACAATCTTTCTCTTGATATAAACACAATCTCAATCATCCCTTGTGTACAATCACAAACATTCCCCCTGTACGGTATAAGTCATTTCTCAGGTACAATCATAATATCTATGGTAAAAATCTGTCAAACTTTTTAAAATCTCATGTGGAATCATACCTCATTTACAATCATCTCAATTAAGGTTACAGGACATTACTCCCCCCCCCCCCCCCCATCCACAAAATATTACCTTAATCCTAACCTTAATACAGACGAAAAACCTAAGAATTCATCCTAAAATAAGCACAAACCCAACTCAAGACATTGATTTAAGCCTAACCCTGATCTTAACACTAACCCTAGACCTAGCCCAAACTCAAACCCTAGCTCTAACCCTAGCTGAACCTTAAGCTATGACCAGGGGGTAATGTCCTACTGGGCAGGGGTTATTACTCCGGGGAGGGGGGTAATGCCCTGTTCCCCTTAATCACAGCTCATTAGCTCAATCTCTGTCCTTCTTCAAATTCAACCATCATCCTATTTCAGATTTGTTTAATCATTTAGTAGCTGCGTTAATCTCTTTTATACATTTAATCTCCTTGTAATTTTGTTCTTACTAGGATCCTGTTCTGTTCACTGGTTCTTTGAGGAAAAATCTGAATCCCTTCCAGCAGCATCAAGATGACCAACTGTGGAAGGCTTTAGAAGAGGTAAGTCCTCAAGTTTATGGGGAGAGTTAAACAGGGAGGCAACTCCTCATTTTTATTATTTTTCTGTAAAAATTTTGTCTTTTTATTATAAAATTGAAATTTACTTCAATTTATTTTAAATTATGACTAGGTGAAACTGAAGGACCATATTAAGGATCTTCCTAATGGCCTTGGAGCAGAAGTTTCTGAAGGTGGAATTAATTTCAGTGTCGGCCAACGCCAGCTAATTTGTCTGGCTCGAGCAGTTCTTGGGAATAATAGGATTCTTTTAATTGATGAAGCCACTGCTAATGTTGATCCAATGTAAGCTTATATTTTTTTTTAAATTTCAGAAAGGAAAAATTCTAATATCTGTATTATTTCTATGCTCTTGCAGTAAATGGCTCCTCGTCTTTCTCTTAAAAACATTTTAAAATGTTCACAAATTCTGAGGATCCTGATCCTTCTGTAAAAATATAATGATTATTTTCATTAATTTTCAGCACTGATGAGCTGATACAACAGACAATCCGCACCAAGTTTAAAGACTGCACTGTGCTGACCATAGCCCACAGGTTACACACCATCATGGATTCTGACAGAGTCATGGTCAGCTCTCATTTTTTTCCCTTTCATCACTTTCTTACACTTTAAAAATAATTATACTTAAACATTCTGATACTGATATTTATAGATACAATTTAAACAATTTTAAATTGGTATTTATTGTTAAACTTTTGACACCTAATATTTATAGTTACACTTAAAAATTTATGAAACCTGGTATTTATTGTTACCCTTTAAACTCTAATACTAATATTTATGACACAATTACCTATACTCTAAATTGTGCAGGCCATTAAAGGCTCTCTTGACAACTTATTAAAAAGTGTGATATGCTCTAAGCCACTGTGCTCAAACAATTTACTTTTGGCCCTGATGACTTGTTGTGTCACTTGCCTTGTTGTTAACTATTCACTGTCTTAATATCTGTCAGAAATTGATTTTTGTTCATTTTTTAAAACTATTTTAGGTTTTAGATAATGGTAGGATAGTGGAGTTTGACCAGCCCTACACCCTGTTGTCTCAAGGCCACGGCTTCTTCTATGAGATGGTCCAGCAGCTTGGCAAAGCAGAGTTTGATCATTTGTTGGAGGTGGCAAGGGAGGCAGCTAAGAAAAGGTAATTTTGCTCTCTTCCTAGTAGTCTCCCTTAGACTGAAATCATGGGATGCCACATTTGTAATAAACCAGATATGTGAAGACAAATAAATAACTAAATGGTTTTAAAATTTAAATCTTACCACAATACATTTTATTTACATTTTAAAATGACACCATTTAAGATGTTTATGGGCCCATTTTTTATTTTGATATATAGTTAATTATATTACTTTATTCTTTTTACTTATTGTAAGTTATCTAAAATGAAAAAGCATTTTCAAAAGCCCCAAGAAATCAATATACCAATGTTTCAAACTTAGGTCTTATTTTCTTTCACTGCAGTGAGAACCCTCCTCCAATGTCGAATGGGATCCAGCTAAACAATAAAAAATTAAAGACCCACGGTCCTGATAATACATCCCACGACATCACCTCCAACCTGAACGACAGCTACGAGGCCAGCGAGATCCCTTACGACATCACAGACATTGAAGACAGTCTTCGGATGATTGACGACCATGATGAAGTTATGGATGTGACCTTGAAACATCAGCCAGAAGATGCATCCAGCACTGCCTCAAAAGATACTGAAGAAACTTCTTTGTTGATTAAAGGAGAAAGTTCAAATGATGACACAGATGTCAAAACATCGTCCCAAACAGATGAGAGAATTAGCAGTGCTAATGATGACAATGCTGGTAGTGATGAGGATGAAGATGGTGAAGAGCGTCAAGTTTTAATAAAGTCAAGTAGTAGCGCAACAGATAGACAAGATGATGATAGTATACATGTATGATTATTAGTCAGCACATTAGATTATAAAATTTTAAAATTAAAACTAGAATTTTCAAATGAAAATTGTACTAGTCTTCTAAAGCATACATTTTTAATGTAAGGAAAATTATTTTACCGCATGTTTGTTATTTGATATTACAATTAAACTAATATTAGTAAAATTATGACTAAGCATTTGTTACAGAGACATGATTGTCTTATGGATAGTTAAATAAATAAAGTTTACATTGATTATGTCATTGTACACTACATTTTAAAATTAGTTTTTTTTAAATATTCATCTGCCTAGACTTGTGCAACAAATTAACCCATTTTTTTCTATAACTCATCAAAGCCAAATTTCTTGATTTCTATTAAACACTTCTTCTGACATGTGTTCTCATATACATTGTTCTTATGTATTGACATATAGTTCTCTTTTTAACCCTGTGGGTCACAGTGTGGCGCCATGGGCTCCAGCTTTATCTTACCCCTATACTTGGCCAGTAGCCTACCCAACTATCCACCCACCATGTGTATTGAACGCCAACTTAAAAAACAAGGAAATGCGACTTCAAACAGAAGTTTTTAAGAGTTACTCCCATTTATCATTAAAGGGTAAAAAGTTCAATATAAGGGAAGTGTCACTCATTCTTTAAATATAGCATTTTAATTTGTTTATTATTTAAAAATGATTTTTAAGACAGACGATTTTTAAGCCACACATCTTAATGTGTTACACATGATCCTTATGTTCATCTTACAGGAATCATTTCTTTATTCTGATTATTATATTTATTCAATAATATTACCTCACTAAACAAGTGAGAAGTGTATATGAGATTTTAATAGAAAACCATTTAACCAGGCTGCCAAAATCAGAGCATTATTGAACCTCAGCAAAACTGATGTGAAAAAAATATCAGTTTAATGACTGATTTTTAAAGCTGCAAACATTACAGAGCATGTAGTGTATTGGACTGCCAGTATTTAGTTTGTGTGAAACAATGTCACATTGATGATTTAAATATTAATACACCATTTTGTTTTTTGTTGTACTATGGTATATGTTTTCTGATTCAAAGAGGACATTCCAGTTAATTGCATACATGAATAAGTGCATAAATAGTTATACTTTATGAATAAAAGGTTATAATAATATTGAAATGTTTGGTAACCAGCCTTGTATAGTATTTTTTTCATTGTTTATTTTTAAAACAAAAAATGTGAATTAATGCTTTGGTAGCTTGATTTTGAAAAATTGTAATCCTTTTCAGATTGTGTTATAATATTTTTGATCCTCACACATTTTTATCAGTACAATTTGCTAAATTGGAGGGGGGGGGGGGGGAATGAAAGAAGGGGGTTGCATTTTTAAAAGAATTTTGTAACACAGATTATTTTAAAATCCTAGAACTGTTTTTTTATGGGTCACATTAAGTGTAAATGTATTTTCTTTTATATCTTGTCCTGATTACTTTTTTAACTCCTCTGATCAGGGTAGAAAATGTGTTTCAAATAGGTTTGTCAGGTTAAATACAACCAGCTACGGCTGTACAGCCCATCAGCTTTGACTATAGAGCTCACCATCTATGGCTATACAAACAATGGTATGAATAGTGCCTTTGTAAACAAGCCAGAATTTAAAGAAAAACAAGATTTTTGATACCTTGTTTACGAGAATCTTTCTATACACTAATTGTTTTAAAACTGTCATACATTTTATTTTTTACTACTTACAATAAATTAAAATATTGTTCCCAGTTTCTTGAATATAAAATATATACAAGAAATTGCTTTACCGGTTATTTAAATGTTATTACGCAAAGCTCCAATTTATATTTTATACTCCTAATAGTGGAAATTAAAAGGACGAAATTCTCTTCATATTGATTCTTATGTTCAAAGAATTCAGAATTTTATCTTGTGAAACAAGTCTCAAATTTAAAGTGATAGATTTCTAAATTGCCAAGTCTCAGTTACAACTCCAAAGCTTGAGTTGTTCTCTCAGCTCTTATGGTTAAAGAAGTTTACCAACTCCTCTGTTATTGACTAGCAGTTTTGAAAAAAGGTGCTTACTTAGATAGTTTTAATACTAACAATGTGAATTTTCTTCTGTTTGCCTGACATCCTGTGCTGCACAGGTGTGTTGTATTGCAGTATGTGATACATGAGCTTTGTGGAACCTCATCATTTGTTTTATGGTTGTTTACATTTCCTTTGTAGAGGTAAATATATACTTGAGACCAGACAAAAAATGGCTTGAAGATAATAAAAAAAAATTGTTTTGTAATCCTTGTTTGTAACTTTTTTTAAATATAACATAATTAAAACCTCAACAATAGTCTACATACAAAATACTTAGTACATATAGATCTATTTAATTACATAGGCTACTTAACATATAATAGTTAGAGATCTACATACTACATGCAGATTAGATTATCCTTAAAATAAACCACTTTGATATAAACGTGGATATTATTGGTTTGTTTTTTGGACGGAACAGAATTTTGCTCTCAGACTCGATCAGTGGTTCTAAAAAAATTTGGAGGTATCGACCTCCACCATTTCATGCATGCGCATTCACCGAACCGTTCTTAATAGCTTCATCGTCGGCACTGACTAAAGATCGTGAAAAGAGAGGGAATTGTATGATGAGTCTGGTGTAGATCTATGTCTTGCAGAGGCGTAGCTAGGGGAGGGCGGGTGGGTCGGCCGCCCGGGCGCCGACCTTAAGGTTGAGCCAAATTGGGTAGAAAAATAAAATAAGCTTATTCCGAGCTGCATTACAGTCGAATTTAAGAAAATAGCTACTTGGTTCGAAGGACGGCTTTCTACTTAGCTTGTGTGATACGGGAAAAAATGATTAATGGTGTGTGTGTGGTCGAAGGGTGGGGTCTATTTTCGCTAACGTAAATAAATATATAAATATGGGGGGGGGGGGCGCAAAATTGATATTTCGCCCCAGGCGCCGAAATCGGTCGCTACGCCTCTAATGTCTTGGCCTCTGCCGAACCCCTGAGACTGACTCATCGAACACTAGGGGTTCGATCTAGCCATGTTAAGAACCAATGGACTAGATCTAAATCTAGAATAGAATCTAGATCAAGAAAAGAACCGTCAGAACGAGTTTCATTCATTCAAGAATCAGCTTCCCTAGAAACGCTCTAAAGCCTTAACTAGTATACGGAACAAGCTCAGTTTCCTGTTTGTATATGACAATAATTGAAATATTTTAAATACGAATACGTGTAATTTGAATTAAGTAGTAAAAAAAACCTTTAACATAAAAATATAATTCTCTTTCAGTGCTGATACCTTTTATCTATTCAAAATATTATAATTTAAAGATATAGCGATTTCTAAAAACGGATTAATTTTAAATACAATAATAAAATGTCAAAATAAATCGCTTTTCGATACCGCCCGGTATCGAATTGAAAGCGCACTTTTCGATATAATACAAACTGCTTGAGAAAACACTGTCGGACCTTAGGTTTGTTTTTCAAATTATAGACCTAGACTAGATATAAATAATGTAGATCTAGATCTTAATTAATATTAATTATCGATTCTAGCATCGAAATCTGTCTAATCTAGATTTTACATTAAAATTATAAACATTATGATGTTGCATTTGTATAATGCTAGATTTAGAATTTAGACTAGATCTAGATCTAGATCTAGATCTAGTCTAGATATTTCACAGGCCCTTGGCCTTGCCCTGCTTACCACCAGTACAGTACAGTTGAGTACAGTAACTACTCCAAAAAATTGTAAAGAACCCTAGACCTAGATTCTAGAATCAAAGTCTAGATCTAGGTTTTAATTTTATTTATAGATCTATCAGTAGTCGATATCTAATTATCTAGAACTCGAATCTAACTACTAACTAGACTAGATCTAAACTCTAGATCTAAAATCTAGATCTATGATTCTATCACTGTCACTGGGTGTCAGTCACTTTCACATGCATTCACCTCCCTCAGTGTCACTTATATATCGAAAACCCAGATTTCAATCAATATTGACTCTACTACTAGATTTAGATCTAGATTAGATCTAGATCTACTACTAGAATCTAGTTCTAGTGCTACTGAGTAGGCCTAATTTAATTTTAATTTTTAGTCTACTGTATTTCTTTCAAACTTTTTCTCTAAGGGAAAGAGGGGGGGGGGGCTGGACAGGTTTAAGGTTAAAGTATTTATTTTTTCAAAGTGACTAGATCTACTTGGAAAAAGATTTTTCTGCAGAAAATACGAAACTCAATAATTCTGCTCAGTGACCTTAATTAATAGCTGCGATAGAGTTAGGCTTGGCTGTTTGTAAACACACGCATGCACAGTACCATCGAAAACAGCTGCAAATGAAGGCATTAGTTTCCATTGCGCATGCATATCTTTTTGCTGCTAGAATCGGCCTTATTTTTTTTAGGGCAGGGCCTTTTCTTACTATTTTATTTTGTAGGCATTCAATAGGCCTAATGAATAATATTGATAATGGACACCAGCGAGAAAAGTCTCAAAGGTATTTGAGAGGTGTATAAATTCATTTAAAAATCATGCACAGCGTAGTTACAATTAATATGGTTATAAAATCCTGCCTGTCTGGTTTTTTTCGGACTTTACTAAAGATTGGATGTATTTGATGTTTATAATATTTTCGGTAACTAAATAAAAATTAAAAAAAAAGCAAAAACAATTTGGTTTTCACGTGTAATGGCGACATAAACAATGGCATCCTGCTATTGGATAGGCCGCCATAGATTTTATTGTACACATTGTAAGCTAAAAATAGAAAACTAGGTCATGGGGTTTTAAATTTGCATTGTTATTTAAAAACTTGATCTGCAAAGTTTTGTAAACAAATAGTTATCGATCTCTAAGTTACTGTACAGCCAATCAATATTTGTCTTACGAAAGTGAAACATCTGGTTATAACTTAGGCTTGATGAAAATAAATAGAAATGTAGCCTTAAACTCAACAAATTATTTTCAAGTTCTCTGGATTTGCAACTTTTATAGCATTTATTCTAAAAATATAAAATTTCTAAATTAATTTTGGGCTTAAGTTTTTTTTTTTAATTTTTTTTTTACGGTCTAAATCTAAAAAGCACGTTTTTATTCCATGTCAACAACATTATGGAAGGAATCTCGTCAATTCGCTGGTGTCCATTAATTGAGTCTTAATAAATTCTATTTGTTTTTCGGAAGATTTAGCTACTTATACGTAAGGTTACTTAAGTTACCTTGAACCACATTCTTTCAGTTTTTAATGAATTGACTGTTGCAGATTTTAAATTTAAGCATACATAGGAAAATTTCATGATGGACATGGATGTGGATGCTGAAAATGGAGCTGAAAATAATCCTCCTACAATAAGTGCACCACTGGTTTTCAACCCTGCAGGTAATTTCATAACTTAGGGCCTAGTCTATAGCTTATAATTAAACTTTTCAGTTAGGCCTAATCTGCTAGGAAGTTTATTAATCAGTTTGAATTTTCTTAAATCTTATGATGAAAATAAATTATTTGTGTTTTTTCTTAAGTACTAGGCCTAAATAATATTCTTATGAACCTCATCTATACTAACTTAACTAGGTCTATAGGCATTTATGGTTATTGTACTTTATTGGTGTAAAAATAATTTTGTCCTTCAGATTATGGGCCTATTGAGGTACCAGAGGCTGTACAGTCTGTAGCTACATATGAAACAAATGGGCCACGTTTAATGATCACCCAAATAGTAAATGAGAATTTCAAATCATATGCTGGGGTTCAAACTCTAGGTCCTTTCAATAGGGTAGGTTCATATATCAACTTCAAGCAATTAGATAATGGTTATTTTCATTTGTTTCAAGTCTTGTCCTTATTTATCTTTGGATGATTTTTTTTTATTGTTTAAGGAGACTTTCACAATAAAAATAACAATTAATGTTTTTCTGTAGAATTTTACTTCAATTATTGGCCCAAATGGAAGTGGTAAATCAAATGTGATTGACTCAATGCTGTTTGTGTTTGGTTACCGTGCCAACAAAATAAGATCCAAAAAGATCAGTGTTCTGATTCACAACAGTGAGAAACATCAAGATATCAACAGTTGCTCTGTTGCTGTTCATTTCCAAAAAATCATAGATACTGGGGTAAGTGTTTCTTATTTAGCCATATCTGTTGTAGTTGTATAATTATTAAATAATTTTTAAAACTATTTTTTAAATTTTGTAAAATCAAATTTAGCTAGAATAATAGCTATTACTTTACGTTGTGAGAATATAAATTAGACCATTTCAGATTTATACACATTTGTTTCTTTAGCTGGGAGATGATGATTATACTGTAGTCCCAAACAGCCAAATTGTAGTGTCACGTACTGCTTTCCGAGATAACAGCTCCTGCTATTATCTGGATGGTAAGAAGGCAGCATATAAAGAAGTGGCCCAAGTCCTTCGAGGAAGTGGCATAGATTTGGATCACAACAGGTTTCTTATCCTTCAGGTTAATGTTTTACTATGTTTTATTAATAATGTATTAAAAAGTGTAGAACTTTCTTATTTGTTTTATTTGTTATGTATTATAGAGCTTCATACATTGGTCTTGATAATTAGAGCAGAAGAGGGAGGACTCCAATTCTTGAACCTTAATTAAATATAAAACAATTAACATTTTCAGGGCGAAGTTGAACAAATTGCCATGATGAAACCAAAAGCTCTGACTGAACACGAGGATGGCATGCTTGAATTTTTGGAGGATATTATTGGATCCAACAGATTCAAACAGCCAATAGAAACTTTAAATAAGCGTGTTGACACGCTTAATGACCTGCGATCTGAAAAAGTAAGATCAGTTTGTTTATAGAAATTTTTTAATATTGATGTTTTGGATTAGAAATATATCAAGAAATAGTGAAATTGAATAAATTAAAATAATTTTAAAAACTTTTTTTTAAAAATCCTGTTATATTAAATAAATTGTTACATAATTTACGTATTTCAATTAATCATATTGTTTTTAGCTAAACCGTGTAAAAGCTGTAGAGAAAGAGATGGAAAATCTAGAAGGGCCAAAGAATGAGGCTGTTGAGTTTTTAAACATGGACAATGAGCTGATGAAGCTGAAGAACAAATTGTTTCAGAAATATATGTAAGTAAATATTTCATTAAAGGATTCTTTGCTTGTTACTGTTATATGCCTTTTTATTTCTTATAGAAATAAATCTTAGTAAATCAAAAAACGTATTTGCATTATACAGTTAACGTTTTCCCCCATAATAGTTGCTTTGCATTAAATATCAATATTAATCTGTTTTTTTTTGTTTCTTGCTAGAATGGAATGCTCTGAAAATGAAGCGAAAGCTCAAGCAGAGTATGATAAAGTTAATGAGTCACTAAAAAAATTCCAAGAAAAACTATCAGTAATCAAGGAAAATAAAAATGTAAAGATGAAAGAATACAAAAAAGTGAAAAAGTAAGTAACTAATTCCTCCCCATACTCATTAAATTGCTAAGTTGTTATTAATTAGACCTGTAATTTAATAGCTGAATATATATATATATATATATATATATATATATATATATATATATATATATATATATATATATATATATTAATAAATGGTATTTTAACTCCAGATCATATTAATGAATTATATTTTAGAGTACTAATTGCTTTTAACATATTTGTTAATGTATTGTTGAATGTCTCTGGGTGAACTTACAAGATAGCTTTCATGAATTCACACATTGGCAGTTTAAAATTGTAACTATAGCACACCCATGTATTACTTTTCTTGTGAATAGTGAGTACGAAAAGCTGTTAAAAGCTTGTGATGAGAGCAGAGAGAAGTTCTCCGACATGGAGAATCAGGATGCCAAGTGCCAGGAAGATATAAAACTGAACAAAGCCAAGTTGAAAAAACTGGAGAAATCTCTGGAATTAGAGACTGCTAAAGTAAGTTTCAAGTAATGTAACTCTATCAAGTAATGATCCTATAGAAACTAATTGGATATTGTAACAAAGGAGTACAGTTAGACTTGATCTGACTAAAACTGGACTTGACCTTAATAGTTGGCAAACATGTTATAAATCTGACAATCTCCATAGTAAATGAGCTTTCTGTTCGGTACATCAATACACTTTGCAGAAATCCACTGCTATTGTTAAAAGTACATAGTACCATAATTATTAAGAAAAATAGTATCTGCTCATGTTTCAATTTAGAGTTGTCTAATAATATGTTGTTATTGCTTTAGATAATAATATGTTGTTATTGCTTTAGATAATAATATGTTGTTATTGCTTTAGATAATAATATGCTGTTATTGCTTTAGATAATAATATGTTGTTATTGCTTTAGATAATAATATGTTGTTATTGCTTTAGATAATAATATGTTGTTATTGCTTTAGATTGCGGAGTTTAAGCTTATACCAGAACAAGCTGAGCAAGCCTGTGCTGAGATGCGGAAAAAACTGGCAAATCTGGAGAAAGCTAAAGAGAAAGAGGAAGAAAATGAAAAGGCTGTCATGGATAGTCTGAAAGATGCAACTAAGGTAACTTACATACTTCCCTTGAATAAAAAAATAGACACTTTCTACAAAAACATATTTAAACTCTGTTAAGAAAAATTGGCGATATGCGCATTTTTAAAATATAAGATACAAAAATAATAAGATTTGTATGTTTTGTAAAGGGACTGCAAGAAGAGAAACTTGCTAAAGAAGCCTTACTTCTAGAACAACAAGAAGAATTGAATGATAAAAAATCAAAGGTTGGTGTTCTTGTGTCTGAAAATCATTTGTACTTCAGAATATGTTGCTAATAACACAGGTGATGATTTGTTGTTTGTTTTTCCCAATGTAAAGCTTCAAGTAGCTGAGACAGAGCTGGAAATAAATACAAGTAGACAGAGGGCTGAAACTAAGAAGTTGGAGACTGTGCAGAAAAACTTGACAGATGCTGAAGCTGCTTTGGAGAAACACAAGAAGTAAGAACTACTGCAATTAGTTGGATGGTCTCTAGTATAGGTTAATCTGCATCTTATGTGTTAGCTTTAAAGAGTGGAATATAATGACATATTTTTGTCTCTCATTCAGAGATATGAAGCTACTTGAGGAAGAAATACCAAAATTTGAAGCTAGTGTAAAGAAAGCAAAAGATGAACTACAGCAAGTCACCAAAGATGAAGTTCAGTGCGATGAAAAGGTAAAAGTGATTCTTCATTTCTAGATAGCACTGTATTGAATTTATGCTGTTAATTTACTTAATTAAAATAAAATCTTTGATTTTGGGATATTGATAATAATAGTGATCATATGTAATCAAATATTTAGAGAAGCAACCTGCTGAACAAAGTGGAGGAAGTGAAAAACTCATTAGCCACCTCCAAGAATCAAAACAGGGTACTTGATTCTCTGATGGCGGAGAAGAAGAAAGGAGTTTTGCCTGGAATTTATGGACGCCTTGTAAGTTGGTGCCTGGATGTAGCTCATTTTGTAATTTGATCTGTCAAGATTTATGAAACTACTAAATAATAATAATACGCACTGGCTAAATATGTTTTTAAGTTAAAATTTGATTTATTAATTCATACATTCTCACACACCTTAAAAAAGCCACAGCTCCTGTTGATTTTTTGTCACATTTCATCTCTAATAACCTATTCCCCTACCTTCTTTAAGGGAGATCTAGGTGCCATAGATGGCCAGTACGATGTGGCTATTTCCACAGCTTGTGGCAGTCTGGACCATATTGTAGTGGACACAATTGACACAGGAAAAGCGTGCATTGAATTCTTGAAGAAAAATAACATTGGACAAGGAAAGTTCATTTTGCTGGACAAAATGGAGGTGTGGCGTGAGGAGACCAAGAAAAAACTTACAACGTATGACACATTTTTTTAGAAGAACTTTTTGTATTAGTAATAATATTAACAAACAAAATATGTAATGGTTAAAAAGATGAGCTGTGCGTGTATTCTTTTTTTTTTTGACAGTTTTATTATTATGGATTCCTTTTAACTTTACACAAAATATTATTTGAATTTTCATCTCTTTTGATTTCATTTAGACCTGAAAATATACCTCGACTGTTTGACTTAATTCGAGTTAAGGATGAGACAGTGAAAACATGCTTCTATTTTGCATTGAGAAACACATTAGTGGCAAAGGATATAGATCAAGCAACTCGAATAGCCTATGGAAAAACAAGATATAGGGTTGTGACTCTCAAAGGAGAGTTGATAGAAATGACAGGTGCTTTTGAAATATTTATCTATTTTTCTTTTTAAATCATTTAAAAGCACTTTATGTTTGTTTATCCTTTATCATCACTATGTAAAAGAAAATTTAAGTCAAACATGTAAATGATTTGATGTATACATTCTTGATATTTCTAATGCCTTGTATAAAATGTAGGTGCCATGAGCGGTGGTGGTACTTCAGTATGCAAAGGTAAAATGGGATCCTCTATAGTGACTGACGTTGATCCTAAAGAAATTGCCAACATGGAGTCTTCACTGGAAAAAGTAAGGAAAAAAATGCTTAAATTTGGGGTTCAAGCATTTGTCATACCCTTTTTCTAACATAGATAAATGCCTGTTTTCTATTTCTTATATGGGTTTAGTGTTTAAACTTTCATTCTATCACAGATTGTTAAAATTGTCATGATGTCTTCTCTATTTTAGTTAAACCAAGAAAAAGATGCACTTAAAGTAAAGAAGAAGAGCCTTGAAGACACCATTTCCCAGAATGAGAAAGATCTCACCATTATGAAGCATAACTTGAAGGAGCATTCCGTCGCAATCCAAGTACTCATTTCTTTTATCTTGCATTAATACAGTTACTTCAATTGTCTTCTGTACTTTACATTTTATGAAAATAACTCAACATTTATTACTTATCAATAATGGCTTATTTTGTTAGATATTTTGGTTATTACAAAAAATTTTAAGCTTTTACCCATAATTGTTTTTGTTAGTTTGCTAATGTTTTTTATAAAATTATATTATAGGGCCTTAAAGTGCAGATAACTGATCTGAAGAAACGAGTCCAAGAACAAGAAGCCTTGCAACAATCAGTTGTCCCAGATCAAACAAAACTTAAACAGCTGGAGGATGTTGTGAGCAAATGCAGGAAAGGTTTGTATCTCTCTGTATACAGTTGTTGAAAGATTCTTTTTGTCTGGTCTGTATATAATTGGCAATGTTTTCTTGTAGAGTACCAAAATATGCATCAAAGGTTTTCTTGTAATTTGTACTATTAACTATATATTTGATACATTGAATAAATGAGTGTATGTTATATTCACAGAGTATGAAAAGGTTGCCCAAACAGCTTCTAAGCTTGAAGACCAAGTCAAGGAGTAAGTAGGCCTACTTCAATTTTAATTTCTGCAGTGGCATTTGTTAATAGTTAGTAAAATATTTGTTTACATGACTATTTTCATTCTTTTATCTTCTTACATATTTGTTAGATTTTTGTTAAGTCATAAAGCTCATGATTAATTTACTAATTGTATTGAAAATGTATCAATGTTTTGATCCGTTCAGATTGCATAACCAAATTCTTGACATCGGAGGAGCCAAACTAAGCGCTGTAGAAGCTCGCTTGAAAGCAATCAATAATGACATAGATAAAGTCACAGGGCAGATCACCAAGAACACTGTAGGTGTGAAAACATCTGAAAGGTGAGCTCATTTTTAAATATTTTAAATCAGATTATTGAATTGCTTTTTCTTTTTTTATAACTTCTTAAACATTTTTAAGTAATTGAGTTTAGTGTAGTCTTAGTCCTATGCAAAATTAGGAGCAAAAAGAAATCAGAAGAAACTAGTTCAGCTTATACTATATCTGCCAATGTAAGATTTTAAAATATTTTTTTTAACGTAATACATTTTCCCAACAGAAACTTGAAAAGAGCAGAAGAGAAAGTGGTTTCTTTAAATGATGAACTTGAGGAAACAAAAGAACTGCTGGGTACCTTGACCCAAAAACTCAAAGATACAGAAGGAGCAGCAACAACCCTTTTAGAGTTGTACAATAAATCTCAGGTGACCTAATGTTATCTGTCTGGTCTTATATCTTGTTTGATACAACTAATAGTGACTGCAAGGGTTTTTATAGTATTATCATAGCTCTGTAAATAAATTGTTTTCAGGCTGAAGTAAAAGACAGGGAATACAACTGATAGTAACTGCAAGGGTTTTTATAGTATTATGATAGCTCTGTAAATAAATTGTTTTCAGGCTGAACTAAAAGACAGGGAATACAACTGATAGTAACTGCAAGGGTTTTTATAGTATTATGATAGTTCTGTAAATAAATTGTTTTCAGGCTGAACTAAAAGACAGGGAAGAGAAGCTTCATGGCATGAAAGAAGAGGTGGAAGAGATGGAGCAGGTGGAAGCAGACATGGCTAAGGAAGGGGTCACTGTCCAGCATGAGCTTGAAAAATACGAAGGGATACTCAAAGAAAATCGGAATAAGTTGAAACATTGGAAAAAAGAGGTTATTAGATATTTCCATTTTTAGATTAATTGTCATAAAGATATTTTGCTTTATTCAATTTTTTAAGCCACTTTTTTTTTATAAACAAGCATAAATATGTAACAACTAAAAGAAAATATTAATCAATGAAATAAACAATGGTAAATGCTATTTCAAGTTAATTTATATTCAGCAATTAAAATAAGACTTTACCACCTGTAAATGTTCTGAATAAAAACTGTTTTTAGAGGAGCAGTTTAAAGTTAACACCAATTACGAGAGAGGAAGAGAACATGGAGCTAGTTTTACCAGAGCTAGCGCCTGAAGAGCTGCAGTCCCTCAACAAACAGGAAGTTCAGTACGGCATCACACTGCAAGAGGAGAAACTCTCACAGATGAAACCTAACATGGCAGCCATTACGGAGTACAGGAAAAAGGTGATAGATTTGTTGTATGAGATATTTCACATTCAAATTGATTTTGTTATTTGTTGTATGAGATATTTCACATTCAAATTGATTTTGTTTTACTGGGGTATCCATCCACAAATTATGACAGCTAAAGATGGACATCAGCATTCAAGTCTCAGGATGAACATTAATGTTTTATGTCTTGTGTGGATTAGCTAAGAATAAATAATTAATTAATTAACTGAACAGGTGTATATTATCAACTTAACCACATCACAAATTCTGCTGTGAGAAATCATTTATTTTCTTGTAATAGTTTTTATTTAAAGTTTATTATGTGTGTTAATTTCCTATTCACATGTTATAACATAAAATAACATGTTATCTTCCTATATTTGATTAAAAATTCCTGACACTTTCAGTAGCCATATTAATTATTCTTTTACTGCTAATTATCATCCTTTTGCTGATTACTTACGCGCTGAAATGCTGTAAATCGTTTTTTTATTATTGTATATTATTTAAATATATGGTTTACACCTGAGATCTTATTTAAAACAATATGGTGTATTTTTTTTTAAATAACAGGAAGAAACATACCTTCAAAGGGTTGGTGAATTGGATGAAATTACAAATTTCCGGGATCAACAAAGACGTTACCATGACAGCCTACGTAAACAAAGATTAGAAGAGTTTATGGCTGGTTTCCAGGTAGTTGAGAACATTTATTTAATGAGGGAGTTAACTATAGGTGACAAAGTTCATGTATAGAATAGTCTTAGATTAGAGTGTTATTTTCTGTTGTTTTAGTGCTGTTGACTTGTGATGCACAAACATTCTTATGTAAATGCTAAAACATGGTTGGATTTCTCAGTATATTATATAAACATATAGATCAGCTACTTTTATTATATCTATAGTATCTGCTAGCAATGTTTTGATTCTCATTTCTAAGAAAAAGTGATTTTTTAATTTAGCTTTTGTTGTGTTTCAAATGTTATTTGTTAATCATCTATTAAAAAATACTCCATGATGTGTAATTGTTGTAGGTCATCACTAACAAGCTGAAAGAGATGTATCAGATGATAACTCTAGGAGGAGATGCTGAGCTGGAACTGGTTGATTCACTGGATCCTTTCTCAGAAGGCATTGTGTTCAGGTAGGCATTGTGTTCATATATGGTTCAGTTAGGCATTGAGTTCAATATGGTTTAGTTAGGCATTGAGTTCAGATATGATTTAGGTAGGGGTTGTGTTCAGATAAGATTTAGATAGAATTGTGTTCAGATATGATTTAGGAAGTGTTGTGTTCAGATATGGTTTAGGGAGGGATTTGTTTTTAATTACTTTAAGATGTACATGCTATCATGTTACAATAACCATACTTGTATTGTCTTAGAAAAAGGTCATGGAAACTTTTTAACTGATTTAAGATAAATTGAATTTTTATAAACATTTTTCTTTTTTGTACAGTGTACGACCCCCAAAGAAATCATGGAAGAACATATCAAACTTGTCAGGTGGTGAAAAGACCCTGTCATCCCTAGCTTTAGTTTTTGCACTCCACCATTACAAGCCAACACCCCTGTATGTTATGGATGAAATTGATGCGGCCTTGGACTTCAAAAATGTTTCGATTGTTGCCAACTACATCAAGGTGAGTAATTGACTCATGTTTTTTTTTTTTATTTTTACATTACAAGAGAATCATTTTTAAAGAGAATAATGTATGATTTTTATCTGTATACTTTATGTAAGCTGTAGTTTAATGTCAATATTTTGGTCAGTTACATTGAAAAATGTTGTAACTTTACCAAGTAACAAAAAACAGTTCAGATTACTTTTTTAAAATCATTGTTTTTTTTTTTTTTAAATTGGGCCTATTCCTGTATTCCAGGAGAGAACAAAGAATGCCCAGTTTATCATAATCTCACTGAGAAATAACATGTTTGAGTTGGCGGACAGACTAGTTGGGATCTACAAAACCCATGACAGCACCAAGTCAGTGACCATCAACCCCTGGAAGATCTCACCAGCTTTTGTTGAACAGATCCAGCAAGTTCATCACATCGACATTAGTGACCAGTGAACACAGTACACACATCAGTCATCACAGTGACCAGTGAAAACAGTACACACATCAGTCATCACATCAACATCAGTCATCACATCAACATCAGTCATCACATCAACATCAGTAAACACAGTACACACATCAGTCATCACGTCAACATCAGTGAAAACAGTACACACATCAGTCATCACATCAACATCAGTGAAAACAGTACACACATCAGTTATCACATCAACATCAGTGAAAACAGTACACACATCAGAACATACTCATCTGTCAAGAGGGTGTTGAAAACTTGTTCCCACCACACCACAATGTCACTTCCACATGTCACAGCGTAAAGTTTACTCACCCATTCACTCATTTGTGTACATATTTGTATGTAACTTGTACCTTTCAATTCTAACTTGCTTATTTAATGTATGTTTCTTAACTTTAGCTGGTGCCTTAATGAATTCTTGATAAATAAATTTTTAATGTTGTTTTTTGGAACTTAAAATATCTTTCAACTTGAACTGTTTATCGAGGAAACAGAAAATTTGGGTATGTCTATATGTTTTGGGCAATTTTTATTAAAAGTATATAATATATACATGAAGATTCTAAATGTGTTTTGTTATAAAATATTTTGAACTATAAAATGTATCTATTTATTAATTACACATTAAATGAATGTTCAAAGTAATATGCAGGTCTGCTACTAAAGTAACATCAAAACTGGTGGTTCTATGGGGCATATGAAATGCTCAACTAGATTTGTAAGACAGGTTCTATTGAAATTAGCAATGAAGGAAATGAAAAACTAAGGGCATGTTTGTAGAGTAATTGAATGTTAACCTGAACTCTCAAGTTTGAATCCTTGTTCAAGTCCTAAAACTTACCTTAGTCCACCCACGTCCAATGGACCATCAGGTTCAAAAAGGAACTTGACATAAACTTACTCATCCATATGACTAATAATTATCGTGTGCCATAATTAAAATCTTATGCAAATAAGCATTGTTTATTTAAATACTGTTTTTATAATTATAAATACAAAATAAAAACTTATTCCACTTTGAAATTATTCCCTTCCAAGTTTGCACACCATCACAAATTTCTTATTGAATTGCACTTGTCTGATACATTATGATGAGTTTTTGACAGAGCTATTGCTTTCAAGCTTCTCTTGTACTGACATAGACCTGCTATTTAATCATACAAAAGTAAGTGGAGTGTTCAAGAGCCAAAACCTGATTCAAATTCTTCTGACCAATGCTGTCATAAAAAGTGTACAAAAGATTACCCTGGTGTTAAAGTCCATTTTTCTCAATGAAGAACAGACTACATGATGTTTTAGTCCTTAATTGTCCCCATCTTATACACACTTCACAGTAACCTCCCTTAAGGTGAGCTAACAAAACCCTACCTAGCTTATACTCTACTAACAATAATTAACACCAATTTTATACCTACATTCGACCTTAAGGTAACGTTAAATAATACAGCAGGGAGCTAACTACAACCAGCACACTACCAACTCATGGGGCTCTAAACTAGTACTAAAAGTTGTGCATAACACCTAGCAATGCTAATCTTTTATAAAATAACGGGGGGGGGGGGGGGGGGGGAGAGTGGGATCGTCTTGACAGAGGAAGGAAAAAAAATGGTTTTTTATTTACAAAGCAGAAGTGAAATATAAATACAATAATTTGCTTATATTAAAGTGGTGAAGTGAGGGAATTATAATTATATATTAATATAATAGCTACTTATGAGTCACTGGATTGGATATAAAATAATTAAATATGCCTACACTTTAGTTGTAGGCCTATTATATTTAGGCATAGATTTGTATTTAGGTTTCAATCTTGATTCTAGAAGGTTTCATTTGAGCTTTAATGTCAGATAAAATAGAATCTATTTCTAAAAGAAACTAAAACGGTTCCCCAGACGCGGGTATTGATCGCTGCACTACACCATACCAATAGCCGGATATGACCCTTAGGGGAAATATCGTTTTGTTATCTATCGCCTAGTTTATATCGACTGGGTTGAACAGGTGAAAACAGTTTTACACGTCGCACTGGAATTTAATCACTTAGACTGGACTGATCACAGTTTATTAGATCTGAAGTGATATTGGAGGAAATCATCTGTAATCTAAATTAGGTACTTTTTTAAAAATAATATTGACTTTGTACTTTTAGATTCCCTATCCATTAATAATTAACTTTTAAATCATTGAGTTGAGTGATTGAGTCAATGTCTCTCCTAAAGACCTAAATTCTAAACTTCGAGATTCTAGATTTCTAAGTTCTACGAATCATCTACTTAACTTAAATCTACTAGATCTAGATTCTTCTAGATCTAAAATCTAGATCTAGATATAGGCCTACTAGATCTAACTACTAATCTACTAGATATCTAGATCTAGACTCTAGATCTAAACCACCTTAGTCCTTAGGCCTTAGACTAGTCAGATCTAACTCTACTCACAGTACTCAGACTACTCAGAGGTTCTAAAATTCTATTTTGAAGTATTTTGTATGTGAAGTAAGTTAGACTCTTCTGTTAGGCCTACTCACTAACTGTGTTAGAGTGTTAGACTGTACACCTCATTTTCTAGATCTAAGTTCTAACGTAACTTTAAGACTTAATGGTAATCTATCGTTTTAGGTACGTAAAATCGCCCGCGACTTGTAATGTGAAAAACAGGTAACTCCTTAAATTTTAATAATTATTTCACAATTTGAGGAGGATTTATGTTTTTTAAAATACAAAAATGTTTCCTTGTTTCATTTATGTACCTGTTTTTAATCAATTCAATTCAATAAATGAAGACTAGCGATGTTTCCAACAGATGCAACCATGCTCATTTACTATAGACTATAGCAGCCATCTTGTTAAAATTTTATTTTTATAAACTTATAGCGCGAGATTCAGGGGGAAGCCACTCTTTTACAAATGGCTGCTGTTTATATAGCAAATCTTGCTCGCAGACACGGCTGTTTAAAGTTAATTTCTGGCCTATATTGATATATTTAGCCATTGATTTAGGCTTATTATTCATTTATCTATAATATTTGACACAAACATATCACAATATAGTAAATATACTTCTGTTAAAGCCTTGACAATGAGGTAATGTTTTCGTACATTTATAGCCGCTGGCGATTTTACGTACCCAGAACGATAGATTACCAACTACTAGTTACTAAACTAGATCTATATTTGATATAGAATCTATCTAGTCTAGATTCCAAATCTACATAGGGCTGATAGGCCTATAGTATAGTTTGCAAACTTAGTAAACTAACTGAACTCGGTCTCAAACTGCAAACATTCATATTTCAATCATTACTCAAACAACAGCAGAACCTGTAGAGATTTTGATTCTAGACAAGATCTACCATCATCTAGATTCTAAATCAGACTCCTCTCTAGATTCTAGGCCCCAAGCGTAAGCTGGGGTAGACTTTTTATACTTTTGAAACTATACTTTTTTACGATCCTCAATAGTTCAATCATGTGATGTACACTGTCCAAACTTATAGCCAATAGGTCTATCTCATACCAGCTGTCACTGAGTCTCAGGTCTCACTTGGCCCAGTCTACACCAATAGGCCACATTTAACAACTGTCGGGGTCTTACTGGACCCAATTTACGCCATTAAATAGTATAGTTCACAGTCTTGTGCATTATAGTATAATGAACAATGAATTACCATATACTCATATAGGTAGATCTAGGGCTAGTTTGTAGCAGGAAGAACAGCTGTTCTGAGTTTTTATTCTTGGATGTAAAATAGGGTGGTAGTTTACTAGATTCTGACTAATCTGCCTCTGTTTACATTTTACTTATTAAAGCCATGAATGACATAATGTTAATGTTAGGTAGGTGACAAAAGTTGAGGAGAGAGCGGTAATACTGATTCCTCTTTAATCTTCCTGTATCATGAAGGCCATAAATTACATAAGGTCTCTAACATAAGGTCTCTCGCTTGACTGAGATCTAAAAGTCAGAGCAGTATATCTATGTTGTCTACTAAGGGATTAGAAGTTTTATGGTGATCACAGTGGTTTAATGTTTAAGGTTAGGAAGTGCAAAATTTTGATGAGAGAGATTGTTTTCCCTGTTGTACGTACTGCACAATGAAGTTCATAAATGATATAACATATAATATGCTGATATATATATATTTAAAAATACTTATGTCCCTAAAAAGGAGCAGAAGTTTTGACGATGGTGGGTGTGGTTTTATTCCCCATGTGTAGAATTTCAATGATAAGAAAGAATACACTTAAGGCATTGGGAATAACATAATAGAAATGCAAGCTAGTAGACAAAATCAATATATTATAAATATGTACATTTTGGCAATCACAGTGTAAAAAAAATTCTCTTAAATAAAACTTCTTTAACAACAGCTATACTATAATATAAAAATGGTGTTTAAATGTAGGCCTATAGTAATCAATACTTAAAAAAGTCTTGTTGTTCATTACAAAGTGACGTTTCCTTAGTTAAGTCTATTTGGAAAAAAAGATCATATAATGGTTTACTGCAGTTGAGAGATTTAGAAGAGGGAGCAGTTTGATTAATTCTTGTTTGATCTCTTCATCTGCTGGATCAAGAGGGTCATAAATTGCATAATAGTAGTCTAGGTCTCTCTTTATGGGGTAACACTGCTATCTAATGATCTGCAGTAGAAAGGTATTTGATATAATATAATAATTATAGTTTGTTCACCGGTTAAAGCACCAGATCTTCTCTCTCAGTTATTCACATCATTCATGTCATTCTTATATACTATAGTATCATAAGTATGTCTATAACCACTTACATTTTTATAATGGTTGCTTTTACAATGTCAGATATTCGTTTTTCAAGTCAGTATATTGGTTAGTAGTTCCCAAATATTTTATTTTTGAAATCTCTTCTTTCTTTTTTTTTCTAGCATAATACAATACTTGTCTACTTTTTTTTGGATAAAACAGTTAATGTGTAGAAGAAGAAAGTATTAGATGTACATTAAAACTATATTTACAGATGGGCTGATTACATTTTCATTCAACCTAAACTGCTGCTTCATAAGCTGAGCATGTTCCTATTAGCAATTATAATATGTACCAGGATGATAATCAGCTCCTAACTTGGATAACAGGATCAAAAAGAATAAAACTAATTTTTTGCTAAATACAATCCTCTCAAACCAGGCAGATGGACTGATTACATTTGCATGGGATTCATCTATTTATTTTACATAAGTGATCTTAATTTGTGTCATAAACTGCAGTTTAGCATGTTGTAATTGGCAATATGGGTACACATAGATAATAATTAGCTCCTAATCTAGATAACAGGATCAGAAGGAAATATTTTTTCTTAATACAGTCCTCTAAAACCAGGCGGAGTATTTTGTTATTGGCAATATACATAATTGGCTCCTAATCTAGATAACAGCGTCAGAAAGAAATAAACTAATAATTTTCTAAATACAATCCTCTTAAACCAGACATACCACAACTTATTGGATAAACAGAGTATTTATGAACTTACGTTGACAGCTGCTGTATCTAAAAATAAACCCCCAATCTATGTTCTATGTATATAATATGACATGATCTCTTAGCTTTTTTGTATTTTTAGACCAGTCGATATGCTTTCTGTAAAATCTTATAATCCTCATATGATGTTTAAAATCATGACCTTGGTTGTTTATTTAACTTGTAAATATTTTCCAAATATTAATCTAGAAAAACATCCTCTGCATAGCCTACTAGCAGTAAAAAGAAAACCTTGATTATTTTAATGTAGCCTTTGTGTAGCAGATGATATTGATGTGTCCACCATTATCAAGATTGTATTGGCAATCAGATCAACCCCTACATCTGTCGCCCACGCAGTAGTTCAAAGGGCTATTTATGTATCTGCAGTGAGGTATCCCATGGGACAGAGGAGAACACCACTGTTGTTTCACTCTTGTTTTTACAAATGTAGGAAGTATTTTTGGCATAAAATGGTTCTAGTAAAATGTGAATTTTGTTTTCTAATTAATTTTCCATGTCGTTCTAACTAAAATTGATACAGCATATTAGTCTGAAATACTTTATGAGGTATTTTAAATTTAGTTTTCTGGATTTCTTCTTCTCCGTTTTAGTTTTAATTTTAATTTTGGAACAGATATCATTAACACAATTATTAAAAATTACATGTCAACATGTATGGGCCATCTCTTGGATAATGTTTCTTAAGCTGCAGGGGGTCTGATCTCTGGACTTGTAAGCAACCATTTACTCTCCCTATCTGACCATGCCACCCCCATTATTCTGGATTGAGACTAAAATTTAGCTGCAGTTATCAAGTGACAGCTGAGAGTAGTAACACATGTAGCTAGTGAGAGGTTACATATTCCTCTTGTTTTCAAAATCAATTCTCTTGTTTTGACTCAGTAAATAAAATGAAATCAAATGCAACAGATGTCTGGCCACAGCTGTTGTCTCAATTTGAAAAGTCAAGGAAGTGAAGCAAGAAAACCTCTTTTATTTGTCGAGATTGTTTTAGCTTTAAATCTTGCATGTGAGTTTTTGATTTCAGTCAAAAACAATTTTAAATTTCAGTGGTCATTCTTTTTTTTTCTCTTTGCAACATTGTGAGTAAAAAATTATCTGTAAAGAGGTCTTTTAGTGTGAAGTTGGTATTACTTTTTAATATATCTGGCAGTAATTGTATGTGTTTTGTACTGAAATTAAAAAGTGGCATACAAGTTTAGGAAGACTTGTTGTTGCTGTTTAAAACTTTGATGAGAAATGTAGATAATACCTCATTCTAGAAAAAGCATGCTGGTAGCCATTGATAGAAACTTTATACACTCATTGTTGATTTTCAGCTTTTTAATCTATATTTTTTTTAGACTTCTTAAAGTTGAGTAGTTTAAAATTTTATGAAGGCTTTTGTAAAAATTGTATTCAAAAATGAAAATAAATAAATCTTGAGACTGTTTTTAATGTATTAAAAAGTTATTTAATTTAAGGCATGAGTGAACCCAATTAACAGAAGGTATATCTTGTATTCTTTTACAGTAGAGCGTAAAAACATAGTCATATAGTCTACCTTTATTGTTTTGAACTTTTTTTAGGCCTATTTTATCACATTTATTGAATTTTCCTTTTTTAGTTCTTTTTATTAATTATTATTTTAATTAGTTTCTTCATCTTTTTATAGAAGACATTTTTAAACATATTTCATTTCATCCTTCATTAAAAGCTGTTTTAAGCTATAGTATAGTGTATTAAAACAGCTGTTGTGACTAGATCATAATCTAGTATTTGTCTATTTATAGAGAGTCGGTGTCGTGTAGCAAGTATTTAGAGCATGTTTTTTATGTGTAGCCAATTACCAGAATACACAGATTGTTGTTTGTCAAAGCTTAACTAGTATTTTGTTTGTTAGATTAAAAAAAAAACCAGGTTAGTTCTCAACACAGTGTCAGGCTATGAGAAATTGAGTTCCACTTTTTTCTCTTGTGTTTGAATTCAGACATCTACACTAACACTTGTTTCATCTTCCAAATTTGTTGAAGTGATTTCTGTTGTGTTTTGAATTTGTAAAAAGTATATTGTATTCAAACATTTCTATGGAATTATTTCTCAGTGTTTGCTTTAAAAAGACAGGAAAAAAATACCTAATACATTTAGCTATTATTTTCCCCCATGTCCAACTAGTTAAAAAAAAAGCAGACATTCCTTCTTCAATTTTACATGAGACTAAATTAGAACTGTAATTGGTCTATCTACATTTTCATGTTGGATGAGTGTTATATTTTTTTTTCTTTGTCATAATTTTAAAGAATTCGGTATGACCTTTGTCCTAAATTTATTGCCACATTAATGTTAAGCACATATCTTCTACGTTTATAATAGCTTTTTTTGTCGGTCACGGATGAGTAGACTTTTTGTGCTATCCGCGTTCAGGACCATTGTTAATCCAACATTGCCTTGTTGCTTCAGCTAAGCTGGGGATTCATGCACACACTCAAGTGTAACATTCTGTATCTCCTTAACAAAGACACATTATATTTCGTCTTTGCTGGGTACTAAAATTCTTTAAAATTCCTCATGCAGCGGGAGGTAACCCCATGGGACCTGCAGTGCCTTTTGTTTGTGTTCACAACGTTTTTAGTAAGCGTAACACAAAAAAAGTATATTCCTGGATACCGTCTAATATAAACTTAACTTTAAGAATTCAATTAGTACTAATCTGATTTTACAATATTTGTAAGTATTGAACAACTACTGCTTTTAAAAGTATCAGTAATGAATGACAATTTACTTCTGCAGTTATGTACATATTTATGTGAATTTATGTAAAGAATACAAATGTATTAGTACTGTTTTATTTTAAGGCAACTATTAGCAGTTGTGATTGTCATCTTATATAAATCTTAATCTTTAATCTAACCTTCACTAATTAGTTAAATGAAAGCCATAGGTATCAACCAGTTGTTACATAGACCATGTAAAGAAAAGTTATCAAAACTTCTTACTAATCCCATTTTAACACAAGATTGCAATTTATTATATAGTGTATTTAAATGAAAAATAAATTAGCATGAAGTTATTTTTCTTAATTGATTATTCTACATTGTACACACTAATTGGTGTAAGAACGAAGCTTTATTTTCAGTTACTTTACGATAGTTATTATAGGGTAAAATAATGTGTAAATGCTATGCCGCCTTGTTCATTTGTCATACTATATAGAGCAAACAGAGAAACCTCTTAAATAAACTTGCCTTAGAGAGCTGTACTATTCAAATATGCAAGCAGGTAACTGATATTGTTAATGTTGGCTCCCCTGTGGAATTGGGCAAGTATTCCCCTGGAAAGGTTAGATCTGTTGAATAGGTACAGGGGTGTGACAAAGTACAGGCTAAACCATCTGATGAATAGGGCCAAGGGTGTGACAAAGTACAGGCTAAACCATCTGGTGAATAGGGCCAAGGGTGTGACAAAGTACAGGCTAAACCATCTGGTGAATAGGGCCAAGGGTGTGACAAAGTACAGGCTAAACCATCTGGTGAATAGGGCCAAGGGTGTGACAAAGTACAGGCTAAACCATCTGGTGAATAGGTCCAAGGGTGTGACAAAGTACTGGCTAAACCATCTGGTGAATAGGCCCAAGGGTGTGACAAAGTACTGGCTAAACCATCTGGTGAATAGGTCCAAGGGTGTGACAAAGTACAGGCTAAACCATCTGGTGAATAGGTCCAAGGGTGTGACAAAGTACTGGCTAAACCATCTGGTGAATAGGTCCAAGGGTGTGACAAAGTACAGGCTAAACCATCTGGTGAATAGGTCCAAGGGTGTGACAAAGTACAGGCTAAACCATCTGGTGAATAGGTCCAAGGGTGTGACAAAGTACTGGCTAAACCATCTGGTGAATAGGCCCAAGGGTGTGACAAAGTACAGGCTAAACCATCTGGTGAATAGGTCCAAGGGTGTGACAAAGTACTGGCTAAACCATCTGGTGAATAGGTCCAAGGGTGTGACAAAGTACTGGCTAAACCATCTGGTGAATAGGCCCAAGGGTGTGACAAAGTACAGGCTAAACCATCTGATGAATAGGCCCAAGGGTGTGACAAAGTACAGGCTAAACCATCTGGTGAATAGGTCCAAGGGTGTGACAAAGTACTGGCTAAACCATCTGGTGAATAGGTCCAAGGGTGTGACAAAGTACAGGCTAAACCATCTGGTGAATAGGTCCAAGGGTGTGACAAAGTACAGGCTAAACCATCTGGTGAATAGGTCCAAGGGTGTGACAAAGTACTGGCTAAACCATTTGGTGAATAGGTCCAAGGGTGTGACAAAGTACTGGCTAAACCATCTGGTGAATAGGTCCAAGGGTCGACTACCGTAACAAAGAAGTCTTTTTTTCTCAAGCACATGAATTATTTGTTTACAATTCATGTAAGAGCTGTTGAAGTATGATACAACTAATGTGGTCCTGAAATTTTAGTGAAGAAGAATAAATAAATATATTCTATTTTAGTAAGGGATCTTAAAATATACTATCACCATTGTTGTACTGAACTTAAAAAAAGTACAAAATACATACATTAATACCTACATTATTTTTTGGTATTAATGGTATGGTTATTTAAGTATTTTGTTACTACTATTTTAGGATCTTTAAATGCTGAATTAAGTAAGTTTTAATATTTAAACATTACTTACAATAATAAGAATCTGTGATTTTTTTAAATTTTATTTTCATTTTTTTTACATACCTAAAGAATGACAAGTGATGTGAATGCTTAAGCCTTACATATTTAGCTAATACAGTTGTATCTATTTGTTTCTCAGATGTTTCATTCTTCTGCAAAAATGTAGACTTGAAAGCAAATACAACCAATAAAGAAGTTGTACTTTAGCAGGTGTACCAATCCAATTTATCACCTGCATCTGTTTCTAGATGTGGAAACATTCCATTGAGGGCAGGAAATTGTTGCTACTTATTTTATCTACCAGTACCATGGTCTTCAATCGGAAAGGTTCACAACCTCTCACCTGTATTCTTCTTTCTTATTCAGCCTTCATGAAACCTGATAGAAGTGTTTGTTTTCTTCTTAGACATTTGTATCACAATCCCAAGTGCAGATAAGTGAATGTAAATCTGGTATGGGCTGTGTTTAAAAAGTTTGATGTAGCCGATTGAAATTCAGATATATACACACAAAAAATGTCTATTCAACTGTATTATGTGGTCAGGATTTGACATATTTAAAGCCAAAAAAAACTACTTTAACCCTACATTTGGAAACAAATTTTACTGGCTATATAGCCTCCAAGCTGATCTAAATTCTTATTCTACAGGTATTTTTTGTTAATATTTACAGATATTTTTTTGGTTCAAGTAATCTTTTCCACTTGATTAAATCAGGTAGTGTACTTGTTGACATTGTGTTATTAGAGTTATACAGCACCCAGCCTTTGATGTGCAGACCTCTTGCATGTCATTTGGTTTGGCACATGTCTTTCTGTATGTGGGCTAGGCTGTGTTCAGAATATTTGACGTACACGTTCAATAAACCTTTATTCATAGATATTTTTTTGTAGTGTTACAATTGGAGATTTAAAAAAAAAATCCAGGTAAATGAGATAAAAGAACACAGAATGCTCTTCAGACGTATTGTATTACTATATTAAGTGGATTTTTTTTTTAAATGAGAGGTATATTGGGAATTTGTCATATGCCTAGTCATGCAGCACATTAAGGAATTTTTCCATAGACCTTGTTTGTAGCTAGACAGGTGGTAAAGTATTATCAATGCAGTGCATATCAGTACAGACTTTGGTAACACTTAGAGTTTCATACAAATAATTTAGCTTATGACGGAATACAGTTCATTCTCACATTTGTGGTAGCAGTTAAGTTGGAGCATTTATTACTCTAATCTTACTGTAATTGAAAGAAATACAATATTATAAAAAAAATTCTTTTAAATTAAAAAAAAAGAATGAACGTAATATGGGATTTTAAAAATTGAATGGTGCATATTATTTTGAAAAAGGATTGTTGTGGGATTAACCTACATATATCTGTATACAATGAAGGATTATACCAGTTATAGAGCTGCCATGATCTTAAGTACACATATTAATGCCAAAATCAACTATCCCTACTGCTAGGATTTTATTTCTTGCTGATAAAATATTCTAGTTTTGGCTTGCTGATTATATTATAAATGGAGGGCACTGCATTTTAAATTATTTTACATATTATGCCGATATTGTTCTTATTCATTGTTTATTTTTGAAATATATACTTGAAAATTAAACCATACCTCTTTCCCCTAAAGAACATACCCTTTATTCTCTAAGTCACAGCTACCAGTTAGGCAGAAAATAATAATGTGGCTTTATAAAACTATGCTTTTTTCATTTCCTTTGGGTCAAAAATTTGTTTTACTTTTTATTTTGAAGTAATATTTCTCACTTTTAGGTTGATCTATAATACTTGTTTAAAACTAATTTTAATGAATGTAGCACCTTTCTTTAAAGAGAAGGCATGCATTCTCCAAGCTAAGCCAAAATAAATCAGAAAATAAATACTTGGCTTCTTCTACTTATTTATAGTCCCATTGTGTTCTCTATGCTCCAGATCTCTATCATTAATATTGTCTGAAAATAATGCACAAGCTGTTACTTACTCTCTACATGTGTCAATACAGTTTTGTTTGGGTATCTTTATTATAGTTTATAATTTGTTTTGTATGATTTGTCATTATTAATCAGCTCTTCACTGATGTATTTTGTTTCTTTTTATATACTGGTGTTTAATTTCTCTTCCTTAGATGTAATGTCGACCTAAAAAGGAATGCCCTTTCGCATACCTATTCGTATGATACTAAAAAGAAGAATGCTAGGCGTATGTGCTGTAGTGATTTTAATTTTGATTGGTAAGTATTCAGTTTAGTTTACACATGCTAGTATAAAATGCATCCCATTAGAAAAATATGTATGTATTTAATATAGGATGAGCTAAGGATACTTTAAGTTGTAGGATTCTTAAATTTTAATTGGTTAAATAATATTGCAATTTTCTTTAGTGAAGTGAGCTGCAAATAATTTATTAAAAAGGTATAGTTTCTACATTTGTTTGTTAGCTTATACACAGTTCTTGTTAGCTGCCTATGTCCCAGGAGGGGCGACAACCAAACCTAACCTTATACACATGTAGTTTGCTATTGTGGTATTTATGTCTGCAATTGTTTTGATCATACAGGTGTGTACCAGGCCTTGCCATCAGCAGCAAATACCAGGTTTGGACGGTAAACATTCTAAAGCATACATTATTTTGATTATACTTTTTTAATTGCTTTGTTTATCGTGAAAAAATACTTTTTTGTTTGGTCTGTGAGGAAAAATCTTTTTTCCCTAGTCAGTTTAGTGATAGCTGCTTTTTAAATATAAATATTGTTTTCCTAAAATGTTTACTATTCAGTTAAAGTTTTTATTTGCCTGTATTTGTCATATCCAGCAGCTTGAATAATGAGCAGGAGACAGAGAAACTTAAAGAGTTAGAAGGCAAGATCCGATCTCTGGAGCTTGGGTAAGCTATTGTTACTGCCTCAGTGTATCATTTTGAGCTTCCTTAAACAGCATGAATGCTGTTCAACCAAAAAAAAAACACCCTATAACCTTATTACTGAATTGTTTGATACACATTTCATGTCTTTTAAAACATTTTTTTTAGTTTGAATTTTTTATTTTTTTATCTTAGAAAAAAAACTTATCCAGAGGTCAAATTTCTTACATACAAAGATAGGAAAAGAATTTTGGTAAGTCTGTGCATAATTAGCTATACATTTATTCAAGCTTTTCCGTGCTATTTTTTTGTACAAATATTTCAATTAGTCCTTAAGCAGTAGAAAAACCTGTCAGTTTTGAGAGCAAGGAGCATCAACGATTATCTCCCCATCTCCCCCTTATCAACCTTAACAAATGTGTGGACCAATGGGAGAAGGGGTTAAAACTTTGCTTCCTAGTTACCTGAGAAGTAGGGCAGAGTTCCCCAACAGGATGAATCTGGTTGCCATTCGCGTTACAGAAATGCAATTTAGTTTCATTGTGTGGAATCTAACAGATCTTCTTGATAAACATTTATGACTTCTCAGACTTTAAGCTATTTTTTTCTGTGTGTGGATGAAACAGCCTTGATGTATCATTAGATGTTATGGTATTCAACTTGCAGTATCTAAAAAATGAGTAGGCAGAAAATAAAAGAACAAATTTACCCTCCCCACCCCATCCCCCTTTACTAGCCCTGAACATAAACACCTTCTTCTCTTAACTTATGCCATCCCGTCAACCCAAACCCCTCTCACCAGAACACTCTACCTCAACAGCACCTACACCCCCACCCCTCACACAACTCAATGCCTTTTGTCAAAGAGTTATAATTTAAAAATTGACTTCATGTTTTATTATATTTTATCATGTTTTTCATGCTATATTTTTAAAAAATATCCCAGATAACTGGAGGGGCTGGTTTTGTTGGCTCCCACCTAGTTGACCGTCTGATGATGCAGGGTCATGAGGTCACGGTGGTGGACAACTTCTTCACTGGGCGCAAGAGAAATGTCGAGCATTGGATTGGTCATGAAAATTTTGAACTTCTCCATCATGACATTGTGAACCCACTTTATATTGAAGGTATATTGCTGCAGATTTATTCAACTACTGATTGATGCTGTCAGTAAATGATGTCTAACTTTTATAGGGTGGGGGGGGGGGGGAGGTCCAGAATAAAATCTTGAGGGAAGGGAAGTTTAAGATTGTAAAACTTGATTCTTGAAATTATATTATGCATTTAAAAATATTTTTTATATAAAAATAAATGTTTTTTTTCAGTGGACCAGATTTACCATTTAGCATCACCAGCCTCACCCCCCAACTATATGTACAACCCTATCAAGACCTTAAAAACCAATACATTGGGAACCATCAACATGTTAGGTAATTCTTAATTAATTCTTTTTCACAGTAGAAAAGTACTTCTCAATGCAAAATTTAAATAAACTGTCAGTTTATTACATGTATATTTATTTCAGTTAGTAGTTATGGATTTTTTAAATTTCTATCTCTAGGTTTAGCAAAGAGGGTGAGAGCTAGACTTCTGCTTGCATCAACTTCTGAAGTGTATGGTGGTAAGGAGTTTGTTACCATACAGTTATGTTCCTGAGCATCTGAATTTGCTTATCCTTTATGATCATTAAATTTTGTTTCCATGTTTGAATAAGTTTCTGCTTTAAAATTTTTTGTTTCATCATCAGAAATAGTTTATTCTTTAAGATCCTAAATTTTAGTTTCCCTAGCCCAAGTTTTTGTTATTTGTTTGAGTTGTTTGACATGAAGAAAATTGTGTTGACAGATCCAGAGCTCCACCCACAGAATGAGGACTACTGGGGGCATGTCAATCCCATAGGCCCTCGGGCTTGCTATGATGAAGGCAAGAGAGTTGCTGAAACAATGTGTTATGCGTATGAGAAACAGGTAGGTAGAATATTTGAGGAACAGTCTGCAAATCTTATGCTTGAAGATCTGATCACAGATGGAATTTGTATTGTTGTTGAACAATGTTGTTGTTTGTAAGAACTCTTATCTATGCTACCCACAGAAAATAAAATGTCATTTTTAGAGTAATATGCTTAATATGGGACGGCGTGGTTGAATGGTAGAGCATAATCCTAAAGTCTCAAGTTCAAATCCAGGTTCAAGCCCATAGAAAAATCCTGAGTCCACCCAGCTTTGATGGGTACCTGTCTCATGTTAGGGAAAGGTAAAGGCTGGCATAGTGCTGACCAGACTATCCCCTTATATGCTAAGGTCACAGAAACAGTTGAACTCTACTTCCCTTGCCCCATGGACTGTCAGGTTCCAAAGGGAACTCTACTAATATGCTTAATCCTGGTTTCATAAGTAAATAAATAAAAAAGATAACTTCAGTGACACTGATAATAAACACATTTTAGATTATACTTGTGCTTTGCATCTGGTTTTATTTGAATGATAGCTAATCTACCAATCAACCTGGCACAATGCATTGCTTTTTATCCATGTTGTTTACCTAGTGTAGTTCTGGCATGTCACTTTAATGACATAACCTTAAAGGTCAGGTCACAAGTCTGTGGAAGAAGGGGAGACAATCAGCCTATTTTTGTCTACCATGGATTGTTTGGCTAGCAAAACATTAGATTTAACATTGTTAACTTTGAGACTTTGTGTTACAGTTGTAATAATGTAGTTTTGACATTGTTAAGTTTGAGACTTTGTTACAGCTGTAATAATGAAGTTTTGACTGTTAACTTTGAGACTTTGTGTTACAGCTGTAATAATGAAGGTTTGGCTGTTAACTTTGAGACTTTGTGTTACAGCTGTAATAATGAAGTTTTGACTGTTAACTTTGACACTGTTACAGCTGTAATAATGAAGTTTTGACTGTTAACTTTGAGACTGTGTGTTACAGCTGTAATAATGAAGTTTTGACTGTTAACTTTGACACTGTTACAGCTGTAATAATGAAGTTTTGACTGTTAACTTTGAGACTTTGTGTTACAGCTGTAATAATGTAGTTTTGACATTGTTAAGTTTGAGACTTTGTTACAGCTGTAATAATGAAGTTTTGACTGTTAACTTTGAGACTTTGTGTTACAGCTGTAATAATGAAGGTTTGGCTGTTAACTTTGAGACTTTGTGTTACAGCTGTAATAATGAAGTTTTGACTGTTAACTTTGACACTGTTACAGCTGTAATAATGAAGTTTTGACTGTTAACTTTGAGACTGTGTGTTACAGCTGTAATAATGAAGTTTTGACTGTTAACTTTGACACTGTTACAGCTGTAATAATGAAGTTTTGACTGTTAACTTTGAGACTGTGTGTTACAGCTGTAATAATGAAGTTTTGATTGTTAACTTTGAGACTTTGTTACAGCTGTAATAATGAAGTTTTGACTGTTAACTTTGAGAATGTTACAGCTGTAATAATGTAGTTTTGACTGTTAACTTTGAGAATGTTACAGCTGTAATAATGAAGTTTTGACTGTTAACTTTGAGAATGTTACAGCTGTAATAATGTAGTTTTGACTGTTAACTTTGAGAATGTTACAGCTGTAATAATAAAGTTTTGACTGTTAACTTTGAGACTGTTAAAGCTGTAATAATGAAGCTTTACTGGATTTAACTTTAGGAAAACATTGAGGTGAGAGTGGCCCGAATCTTCAACACGTTTGGTCCCAGGATGCATATGAATGACGGCCGTGTTGTCAGCAACTTTATCCTGCAAGCTCTGCAGAATGAGTCTATTACAGTAAGCTGTTCTTTCATTTTGATTAGTGGAGACCATATACAAGAAACTAAATGAGAGGCTAAGGGCCAAATTTTTCAGAATCTGTACAATGTTCTCATTACTGACAGAAAATAGTGTTTCAGTTTCTCAAGATTAGAAACAAAGTCTTTGATAACTAAGGTGTATTAACTTGGCTGGGCTTAAAACAATGACAATTTGAATGTTGATTATCCTGTGACTTAATTTCTTATGATTATTGTTTTCAGCTTTAATGGTTAGAAAATATTTAGTCAATATGTAACTATTTCCTCCCATAATTGTAGTCATTGTATGCAGTTATATCCTCCCCTGTAGTCTTTGTAACCATTTCCTCCAACTGTTAAGTATGTGTATTGATTTCCTGCTCAGGTTTATGGCGAGGGTGAACAAACCAGGTCATTTCAGTATGTGAGTGACCTTGTGGACGGCCTGATGGCGCTGATGAATTCCAACTATTCTCTGCCAATCAATCTAGGCAACCCAGAGGAACACACCATCATGGAGTTTGCTAGAATTATCCAGTCTTTAGTAGGTCAGTGACACCCCTGTTGTTTTTTTTAAAGCGCTAGTTAAAAAAAAATTCCAACTTGCGCTAAAAAAAAATTATAAACTGGCCAGGTTTTTGCCATTACAGTCCAACTCCAGTTCGCTTGTATTTTATTTTGTGGTGATTTGGTTTTTGTACACATAGGTGGTGATAGTAAAGTTATAAAGAAAACAGCAATGGAAGATGATCCACAAAGAAGGAAGCCTGATATAACTAGAGCTATGAAATTCCTGGGCTGGCGTCCTAAGGTGAGTCTGGTTGCTTGGTTTCAAACTTTTTTTCATTTCCACAATTGAAGAGTCTGTTTTCAAATATTCAAAAAGCAGTTGTCTTATCAGGAAAGATATATTATTTATTTCTGCCAACATTTTGTAAAAGACGTGGACCTTATATGTTCTTTTAAAATTGTCACAAGTTAAAAGAATTTTAACTTGTTTGTACATTGAATATATATGAAGTATGTTACAAAATTATATGTGGCAACAAGTTGATTCTTAGTTTTAAAATACCAGCTAATCTTAAACTACAAAATGCACTTGGTTTTGGAAATCAAATTTAATTACCTACTTTGTTTACTAGAATTTAATCTTATGCACAACTATTACTTTTAAGCTAAATGAGTTGAAAAGTGATATAAGTACATGTAAATAATATCAGAATACATTTGAACTACTATTATGGTTTTGACTGTTATTTTACAAGTACACTAAATAGTTTCGATCTTACTTGACACACTTTCAGAAAATTGATGAATGGAAACTTCTTCCCACTTCTGTTTAATTAGTCTTAATTTTAAAATGAAATTTGTAACAACTTTTCATGAAGAAATAGCTCAAAATTTTTTTCTTCCTACCTAATAGGTTCCTCTTATGGTGGGTCTCAATAAAACAATTGAATATTTCCAAAACGAACTGCGACGATCACGCCACAGTGAGAGGAACTTTCATATGCCAGATACATTGCAGTTTTAAATCTTGTATTGTGATTGGTTTATTTTGGATGATTGAAATGAGCCTACTACAGTTTCGTGCTTCTTGTGGTGTTATGTTTGTGCTGTCTGACATTACGTGTATTGATTATGTTTAATTTATTCAAACCAAATAGTTGTGATCACACAGTGATTGAATTAAGCCTTACATTTTGTGTATAGCTACAGGAGAACAACATTGCAATACTGTTGAACTTACAACATTCATATATTTTTTAGACTATTTTTACATGCAACATTCTGTTCATTCAGTTTATTTGTTAATTTTTAGTTACGTAGGTTTTTTATTTTGATTACACTTTTTATGATAAACTTGAAATGAACTTGCTGCATAGTCAAAAAGTCTATTCTTTTTCACCCTATTCATTTATGGATGAATTTTTTTATAAAGCTCATGTAATACAACACATGTGTAAATGATGATTGAATTGTAGCTTCAAATGTAGAATGTTTCATACAAACTGCTGGCTCTAATGTGTAATAATATCAACTGTGATTTTATGTGTGTGAGATAAATGCATTTTATGTGTGCACAAGCGAGGAAAGTTGATTAGAACTACAACAGAGTGCTATTTAAAATATTTTGATACATCTTAAATTATACTGAGAAGTTTAAGCAGAAAATTGAAATTTTCTTTCAACTACAGCATGTGTGCATAATGATTTTAATTTGCTCAACAGCTGTTCATTTTGTTGAAGAATGCTGCTGCTTCATGTAATTGTAAAATTTGTGATTTTGTTTTCCATCTGTTCTGGTTATCAAAAAGACTTTTTTTTTTTAGTTGAGTCCTAATAGTCCCAGTAAAAAAAAACTTTGTAGTGCTTAAATTATCTAGTTGACATATCACAACACATACAATGAAAAGGTTTGTGTAATGCTAAGATAGATCCTGCAGCTTCCAATATAGAAACGGGTATAAATTAACTGCATCGGTGAAGAAATCCTTACAAATGTTTTTATGGACCATTTTGATCCCTTATTTATCTCTTTTAAAATTAATTAGTGTTGAGTAAATAGATATTTTTTTATTGTAAATTGAAAAAGTTAATAGTTGCACATATTTATAGTTGTTTTTCTTTGTAATGGCAAAAATGAATATGGTAGCTATTTTTGTTTTTTGTTGATACCATGAAAAGGCTATTGTGATTGTTTTACTCTGCTTCTACTGTCTGTACTGCTAATAACGCATGTGAACTAGCCAGAATCAAGTTCTGTAAACTTTATCATATGGATTGAGTTTGGCTGGAATAGCTTGTTCTTGAATAATGAAAGAATAGTAATCAAAGTTTTTTTTATACAATTTTTTTTTTAAATTTCATCTTCTCATTTTAAATATGATTTAAAAAAGTTAAGTTTGTATTGAACAACTTCAACAGCTTCATCCTATTATTGAGTTTGTTAAATCCATTTTTTTGCCAGTAGTAGATGTTAAATGCTCTACTTATCTCACATACTTACTACCTTGCCTTGAAAGGTGCATCACCTGGCAACCTCTATCTGATTTTGTTGGTTCTTCACTTTGTTCTGACTTTCTCTGTGATGCATCTCTAGATATGTTTTTGTTTCTCTCCCTTGAAATTTGTCTCTTATGTAGAGAAGATAGATTTGTCACCACTAGTTTCATTCATTGGTTTCATTCAGTCCCCCAGCCTTCATTAGCCTTGTCTAATTTTTTACTGTCTCAGAGGTTGTATGTCTGTTGTTCAGTTAAAGATTTACTTGAATTATCTTCTAATAACACTTTTCATAATTTTTTAAAAAGTGATGTAAAATGAAAACTCCAGGAAATTTTTTAATCACCTTCAATTTAAATAAATATTTTCATTGTTAGAAAATCTGTCACAAATTTTTGTCCAAACCACCTATAATTCATCTTAATCGAGTTTTAGATAGAGAGCTCTAGAGTAAAATTTCAACCCATGCCAAATTTGGTTTCCTAGTCATCATGTCGTAAGATAAGTAACAAATAAAATCTACAGATACATTTAAAAATTTATGTGTAGCAATTTGATGCTCATTCTGAATTCTCTGCATTTTCATTTTTTACTTAATTTTTGTTTTTCTATGTATAAAATGTTCTTGTATATGCTTCCTACTTTAATATTGGAAGTGTGACCTGCAAATTTTGAAATTTAAGTTAACAGGATAGTTGTATATGTATAACGTTTTCAATTCATTCCAAGCATACAAATTTCTTAATTTTAAAAATATTTTAACAATTCTTTTCTGGTACTTTTTGTTAACTTGGAAAAATTGCTTTTTGTTTTAGAAGTGATTGGATTGTTTGACTTTTGCTGTAACTAATTATTAATACTTTTTTAAAATCGTTGTTAAAAATTTACAAAACTAATTGTATACACTTTACTCTTTTGTACTGCCAAAAAATATATTTACTTCTGTGAAATATAATTTTATTAACAGGAATAATCTGATTTTTTCCCCCCCCCCAGACTTTCTATTTGCTTCAGTAATTGGTTTAGCTTCCTAAGAGAGCTAATTTTTTTTAAGCTAAATATAGGACAAATATTTGATAATTATTTATTGATGAAAAATATTTTCTTAGCAATATTATTATATTGTGTACCTGTCATTATAAAACCAGATGATTCACAATGTAGTGATGAAATGTTAATGTAAACTTTTTTTATACATGTACTGAATGTTTAGTGATAATTGCTCCCCGTATTCTAAAAAAAAATTGACATTTTTTTGGTTAATGTTACTTTACCACAGATTATACACACATTATATGACATAAGCATAGACATTTTTTATTACATCTTACAAAATACTTTTATGCTTGCCAAAAAAAAACCTCATTTAGGTTACGTTAAAGTTTTATATTCTACTTTAATGCAAAACTTTGAGGTTATCTGTTTAAACCTAAGGACGAACAATAAATGCACCATTTTGGTTAAGTCACACATTTAAATTCTGCTTATGTTGGAAACATTTCAAAAGCTGAATTTGTTGAAGAAGAAGAAAAAAAGAATCAAAAGTGGTGTTTAACTCCACCCATACCCAACATATCATAAAATAAATCACCCTCTCCCCCATACTTGTCCTATAGTAAGTGCATGATCTTTTAGTTTAAACTGTTTAATAGTCAATGATTTATTTGCAACTTCTTACCAATATGATAGGAGATTGTGCTAGTATTAATGTGAGTACAAATGTAAAGTTTAGTTGAGGTACATTCCTTTTAATTTTGTATTTTAAGTTTGAACCCTGATCCCATGTAATACGTAAAGGTAATTGGTTGTTCATTTTCTCTCAAGTTTTTGTCAGCCCTGAGAGAATGTTCAAGAATTTACAAACTCGTAGTTTGTGACAAACTCGTAGTTTGTATGTGTAACTGTCATTGTTTGACTGAGAATTTTTAGTTTTTTTCACAGTAGTTCAGCTAAAATAATTTTGAGACAGATCCTGAAACAGAATTTACATTAAATAAAATTCCAGATGTTTTATTCTACAATGCAACAACAGTTTAAGGTGACTGTTTGTGATAATCTTTATTGACTGCATTCCAGAAGACTATAGTAAAAAATACTATAACTCCCCATCTCCTTAATGCTTACAAAAAATTGTGAAGATATGGAGTGCATATCAGTCTTAAAATTTGTGAATCAATAGAAATTGTAAAATGTGTGATTTCATGTTGCAATTAAAATGTTTTTTTTTTATTATTAATTAATCTTTGTAGATTGCTTTTTAAGAATATTTTAACTGTTTTGGCAATGTTCAATTTTTAATTTTTATCCTTTTATTTCTTCATCAAATGGAATGGTTAGTTTTTGTATCACTGTTCATTCACCATGTTAGAAATTACCAATTTGTTATGTAAATAATATCAGAATACATTTTGAAATTTCATTTTGGTTTTTGGCTGTTATTTAACAAGTACACTAAACCAGTGCTTCTTAACCTGGGTTCTATGGAACCCCAGTGGTTTAATGAGTCAGTCTCAGGGTTTGTCAGAGGTCAAGACACACACTTCATGATTCACCATCAGATTTTGACAGTGCTGACGATAGATCTACATAAGAAGGGTTCGGTGAATGGGCAAATGAAACTTGTGGGGTTTGGTACCACCTAATAGATTTAGAACCACTGCATTAACATTAACATAATTCAATGTAAAACAACACAAGACATAATAATGGACAGGTGAAAAAAAAAATGGAAACAGTTATATGCAACTCATCCATGGAGTATTTTATTGTCAACATGTAAGTTAGTATAACTAATCAAAAGATTTCTCCATGAGGATACTAATTGTTATTTGACAAACTTCAAACCATTTCGCCAAGAATAATTTGGTTCACTTTCATGGTTCTTGTATTTATACTCTTCCCAACCTCAAGCACAAGATTATAGTTGAATTACGTCCCTTATATAACCCATGTTTGATCAGTGTTACCTGTCCTTGATTATTGATGTTACAGTTCTTTGAAACATTTCAATTATAAGTAGGTAAAGTAGGACAAGGAAATAATTTTAGGCCTCAATGTTTACTAATTGTTTTAAGTACCGTGTTTCATACTGATTTTATTGCTTAAAGCACAATTATCCCTTTAGTAAATATATCAAAGTGACTGAACACCACAGCGTTTCAGTGAGTGTTCCTAGATTCTCTAGATCTATATGTGTGTACAATCTAGCTGTCTGGCTCCTGGAATAACGATACATCTAGAGCCCCCCCCCCCCCTCCCCTTTCATTTTTTTTCACCCAAATTTATATGAGCTCTCTTCCTTTTGTAAGGGGTATACCTAAATTAAATCTCTTTTGCTGATTTTGTCCAAGTGAACCACCCCCCCCCCCTCCCCTACATTCATACACACACACCACTCCTGATAGGGAAAAGGAGGTGCTTTCGCTGTGGGGGGGGGAGGTAGCTAGAAAGTGCGATTACACACTTCTGTATTGTTTCTTAACCCCAGGGTATATAACCACGCTAGGTCAATTTTACCGAAATTATTAATTGAGTTGTTTCCCTTTGCATGTTTATACAAGCTAGGCGAGTTTAGTCGAAAACGTTGCGGATCCTGCGTTGTCCTTTACCATGTGTCTGTGTTACAGTTACGTACTTTGTGTTGCCATGATCTCAATCCATGATCTCAATCCCATGATCTGTCATGGACTAATGTTCATACAAGTCTGTACCCTTTTTCTTCTGGTCGTTGACTCTCCGTGTTGCTGATCCATACAACAAGACTACACCTGGACTGATCCATACAACAAGACTACCCCTGGACTGATCCATACAACAAGACTACACCTGGACTGATCCATAGACTACACCTGGGCTGATCCATACAACAAGACTACCCCTGGACTGATCCATAGACTACCCCTGGATTGATCCATACAACAAGACTACCCCTGGACTGATCCATAGACTACCCCTGGATTGATCCATACAACAATACTACCCCTGGACTGATCCATACAACAAGACTACCCCTGGACTGATCCATAGACTACCCCTGGACTGATCCATACATCAAGACTACCCTTGGACTGATCCATACATCAAGACTACCCTTGGACTGATCCATGCAACAAGACTACCCCTGGACTGATCCATTCAACAAGACTACCCCTGGACTGATCCATACAACAAGACTACCCCTTGACTGATCCATACAACAAGACTACCACTGGACTGATCCATACAAGACTACCCCTGGATTGATCCATATAAGACTACCCCTTGACTGATCCATATACTACCCCTGGATTGATCCATACAAGACTACCCCTGGACTGATCCATAGACTACCCCTGGACTGATCCATACAACAAGACTACCCATGGACTGATCCATACAACAAGACTACCCCTGGATTGATCTATACAAGACTACCCCTGGATTGATCCATATAAGACTACCCCTTGACTGATCCATATACTACCCCTGGATTGATCCATACAAGACTACCCCTGGGCTGATCCGTACAACAAGACTAATCCTGGACTGATCCATAGACTACCCCTGGACTGATCCATACAACAAGACTAATCCTGGACTGATCCATAGACTACCCCTGGACTGATCCATAGACTACCCCTGGACTGATCCATACAACAAGACTACCCCTGGGCTGATCCATAGACTACACATGGACTGATCCATAGACTACCCCTGGACTGATCCATACAACAAGACTAATCCTGGACTGATCCATAGACTACCCCTGGACTGATCCATATACTACCCCTGGGCTGATCCATAGACTACCCCTGGACTGATCCATACAACAAGACTACCCCTGGGCTGATCCATAGACTACACATGGACTGATCCATAGACTACCCCTGGACTGATCCATACAACAACTGGAAATTTCAGAACTGGAATAAGCTCTGCGCATCACCCAGTACATAACCACCTAATCCTGGACTGATCCATAGACTGCCCCTGAATTGATCCATACAACAAGACTAGCCCTGGACTGATCCATAGACTACCCCTGGACTGATCCATACAACAAGACTAGCCCTGGACTGATCCATAGACTACCCCTGGACTGATCCATACAACAAGACTAATCCTGGACTGATCCATAGACTACCCCTGAATTGATCCATACAACAAGACTAGCCCTGGACTGATCCATAGACTACCCCTGGACTGATCCATACAACAAGACTAATCCTGGACTGATCCATAGACTACCCCTGGACTGATCCATACAACAAGACTAATCCTGGACTGATCCATAGACTACCCCTGGACTGATCCATATACTACCCCTGGGCTGATCCATAGACTACCCCTGGACTGATCCATACAACAAGACTAATCCTGGACTGATCCATAGACTACCCCTGGACTGATCCATACAACAAGACTAGCCCTGGACTGATCCATACAACAAGACTAGCCCTGGACTGATCCAGACAACAAGACTAGCCCTGAACTGATCCATACAAAAAAGACAAAAGTAAACCAACTTTCGTCTTTGACCTTAAGACCTACACGCTGTTGGCTCTCAGAGATATCAACTTTAGTTCGACGTGTGAGTCTGGCTAGACCATCCACACCCGAGATCCTCTAGTTTCCCCGTGGGTGTTTACTGTATGCCTCTCCCCAGAACTGGAATAAGCTCTGCGCATCACCCAGTACATAACCACCAGGATGAGAAAGGATGAAAAAAAAATATTCTAACAGTGTTTTTGGCCTTACTAACCACTCGACTCACAATTAATTTTATGGGGAACTTGATGAAACTCCAAGACCAATTTCGTTAGAGATTGTTGAGAGGATAGATTAATTAAACAATCAAATTACTTTTAGATTGAAATCTAGAAACGGGTTTTGTGTAGTCTAAAAAGGATGACCATATCGCCATCGGCTGTATATTTTTCAATTTTACCACTGCAAGATTTAACGGGAGTTAAGCATGGTTTTATCAACAACTCATGCAATTTACCTCCCTTTCCTCTATATATAAATGCGGCCTGATGGTTTTTTTTTTTTTTTTTTTTTTTTTTTTTGTAAATAATTTTAAAAAAACAGGGTTATTCTTTATAGTTAGCTGGTAAATTAGATAGTTATTGCACATTTTTTTATCAATTATTTGATGTTGAGAATTTCGATTAGTAAGTTATATCTATAGCTGTTTAAGTGTTTGAGTAAGATAGTTAACAGCAAAAGTTAACGATAAACCTTAAATGTTAACCTGAGGGGTCAAAACGAGTTTAAAAAAAAACAACAGCCAACAAAAAGAGTTAATAAAAAAGTTGTGCAAAATTTTAAAAAAATTAAACTTTCGATGTTGTATATTAGCTACTCGCCACTATACCATCTGGGGAGAATTTTCTTTAACATCGAAGTACATAAGAATTCATGTTTAGTTCTTCACTATAGTTATACCATCATCATTACAACCATCGTCATTGTCATTGTCGCTACTATTGTTCTTATTATTACTAGTATTAGTTTTATTTGTATTTAAATTACTTTTTATTTATATTTTAGAATTATTAGTGCGGCATTTTTATTTTTTTGTACCAATAGGTCTATATGAATTATCATTTTCGTTTTTTGCTTCATCATCCTTAATATTACCATCATCGTTTTTATTATCGTTGATTGGTTAAAATTGATAACTCTTCTTCTTCTTCTTCGTTCTTAATTATTAGTATTGAAGGGGATCGAGATTTATCTGCCAGTGGGTTTGAACTCGAGACTTTGTTCGAATTTATCAACCATGAGCTTTTTGCCGACTCGACCACGCCTCCAACACAATTAAGCGTTACGTGTCAACTGGTTATGCGCCATTGGGGCCATTGACTCCGATTTCAGCCTGCTTTTCTTTTTGGATTTGCTTCCATAGCCTTTGTCCAACCAAGAACAAACTACAAGGCAGCAGTTGTTTAATTTTGGAGTTGTCTCTCCTAGAAGAGTGGCTGTCCCCAGCTAACGAGCATCATCTGCCCGAGGGTTCGAACTCGAGACTTTTCGGTTTAGCAACCATGAGCTTTACCGACTCGACCACGCCGACCCCAAATTGATAACAATTTGGGTCATTGTATATTTACATGCGTTGATCCGCCGTGTTTTCTTGAATCAGTGATATGCTCTCCCCTTAACACATGTATATATTTATGAAGGAGAAATGTCGCGAAATTGTCGCGAAATTCGACTTGACATGCGTTTATCCCATCGCCCTGTTACCCCAGGACACACACATACACACCAGCAAACCGGTGGACATGCGCAGACAGCAAACAGATAGCACCGTCTGTTGGTTGTTAGCTCCCGTGAGCTATTTGATTTGCCGGCCTTGTTTGCTCGTCTGCTAGAGCGGAAGTTGCGTGCCTTGTGCCATTGTGTGACGTAGTCAACCAAAAAATGTTGATGTTGAGGGTCTTAGACACCTCAAATACTAAGCGAACAAGATCGCATGAGAGAAACGTCACTAAAAAAATGAAATTTGACGTTTCGTGTTGTGTAGGCCTATAAATAAACCACTGACAATGAATGAATGTACATGTCAGTGTTAATAGAATAAATATGTATCAGTCCTCATAAGCCAACATTGAATACTATAATAGCAAAGCCTAAAGGGAAGAATGGAACAAGTCAAACTGGCCTTGTAAATTACAAATCTGAGGCAAAGAAATTTTTCTTATTGAAAACAATTTAAAATTGTGATCGTCCACACTACTTAGTTCTCTGTCTAGTGACTATGTATGACTTAACAGTAATGATTTAAGTACTCACACTTTTTTTTAATCGTTAAAAAGCCTACCTTAAAAATTGTTTGTCACTTTTTTTACAGAATAGGGTCACAGAATTTTTTTTAACTTGAATTAAGGTATGCAGAATTAAATCTTCATAGAGTAAAATAGTGAACACAATGTTGTAGAGTATTATTCGCACGGTTGTGGTGGTGATGCGTCGGGCTGTGGTGATGATGTGAGTTTTGGATTGACTGAGCTTAATGAAAGTGGCGTGGGGACGTAAGGTTTAATCCTCTGCACCCCACACGAACAACGACATTGAGCATCAGTGTGATCTTGGTGACCTTCGCCTAAATTTTTCTTAGTTTAACTTTTTAAATCTCTCTGCAATGTCGTCATCCCTGTTAATTATAAATATCTTAATGAATGAGTGAAAGTAACTTTAATTTATTCCATAAACCAGTAGGTGACATACGGAATTCTATGGTATTCATTTTTACATAGTTATTTATACTCTACTTCACCTACTATTCTTCAATCACATTTAGTGGACCGAAAAAACAGCATTACCGAACACTTATCCTAACGTCACCACCCCCATCCCCTATGCCCCCCCCCCCCAATATGCTGCCCATAAGCCTAATGCCCATCAGGCAAATGAAATTAGGCCACGGCCTTCAGGGCTCAAGGTGGTTTCAGGTTAATTTCAGAGCCAGGAATCCCGTCAAATCTCGCACCAAACGGTGAACACATTTTTAGGCCATCTTTAGGGGAATATTTGTAACAATTTTTTTTTGGACCCAACAAAACTGTGTGTTCATATTTTTGTATGGAGTCTGAAGGGGCGCTTGTTCCGATCATCACGATAGAGGGTTTGTTTCAACCATCAAAATCAGGGGGGGGGGGGGGGAAGAATCAACCATCTAAATGATGGGGGGGTCTCAACCATCTAAATGATGGGGGTTTGTTTCAACCATCGCTGGGGGTTGGGGTTATTTCAACAATCTAAATTATAATGAGGTGGGTTGTTTTAACCATCTAAATAATGGGGGTTTGTTTCAACTATCTAAAAAAACGGAAAGTGTTTAAATCAACGGGAAAGATGTGGTGTTCATTAACAATCAGAATGATGTGTAGCTTATTACAGTCGCATGGTAGCTTGGGCTCTCCCCACCCCACCCTACTCCAATCTTTGAGTAGGTCCTTGTGGCAATGGGGGTGGGACGACTTACGGAGCAGATATTGAAATAAATATATATATTTTTTTACTTTATATCTGTCTTCTAAGCCTCAGACAGTTTTACATTTATTATTAGGTGTGTTGTTGTCAACCTTAGGTCAAAGTTCACGACACGCTGCGGAAATAAAACAGAGAAACGGTATACTTTTATTTCCCAAGTCAAACTAACCGTGTTTTCACTCTACTAATTGTCTAACCAGTTCTGTCACTCTATGAGCGACCCTAGTTTCATCCATGTAGATATTCCTTTAAAAAAAAATATGAGTCGTTTGATGAAACTCCAAACTAGCCTATAAACTCAGCGCAACCAAGGGTAAATTTAAGTTGGCCATTGTCAAGTAGACTAAGTAGAACTCTCTACAACTAGTGTGTTTATTGATGTAACCTACATTTATTTTTACACATGTCAATTGTCATCTTATCTGATGTTTGGAAACGTTACTGTTTTTCTTTTATTTATTTAAACGTCAAACATTTCACACAGTTGTACTAAATGACAAAATAAAAAAAAATGAAGACATATAGGACACATCCCTTAAGATGCAGATAATAAAAGTTTTTTCAAACATTGGAGAGGTCGTCTAAATCTTTAGATAAGCTGACCTAGTTCCAATGATAAACAAAAGTACGTGGTTGTAAGTCACAGTCATAGTAAGATAAGTCACAGTCATAGTAAGATAAGTCACAGTCATAGTAAGATAAGTCACAGTCATGGTAATAGCAGTCATGTTGTGTCACCGTTGGTACATTGCTGCAAGCAACATCCCTAAGTACGCACTAGTTGTAAACAACCCCCTCCCCATATAATTCACCACATTGTAAATATTACAGACAGTGCCTTGTCTCACAAAAGACTCTTGTGTTATCTTGAATTATAAAGAAAAATGTATAACCAATCCAGTCCATGTTTTACCAGATGTATAATTTCTCCAGTCCATGTTTTACCAGATATATAACTGCTCCAGTCCATGTTTTACCAGATGTATAACTGCTCCAGTCCATGTTTTACCAGATGTATAATTGCTCCAATCCATGTTTTACCAGATGTATAACTGCTTTAGTCCCTGTTTTACCAGATGTATAACTAATCCAGTCCATGTTTTACCAGATGTATAATTTCTCCAGTACATGTTTTACCAGATGTTTAACTACTCCATTCCAGTTTTTACCAGACGTATAACTTCTCCAATCCCTGTTTACTAGAAATAGTAAACAAACGCCAATGTGACACTATTTTTATACACTAACCCAGTTAGTGAGATAATACAAACAAAGCCGATAGATCTATATCACCACGTTTAAGCAAAACTCTTTTATTACCAATTATTAACGAAGCCTATGTATTCATATCTATAAAAAGAAGCCCCTTGTCACCACTTATAATAACAAAGCACCGTATCACCGCATATAAACAAATCCTTATGTATTATCATTTACATCCAATAAGCATTGTATAGCAAATTATAAACAAATCCTAATTTGTCACCAAGTATAAGCAAAATCCTGTGTATCACCAGTTAAACACATGCGACACTACTTAAAAACAAACCATCCTATATCACCACTGACACACCTCCTGTATCACCACGCATAAACAAACCTATCATATCACCACTTGCCATAAACAAATCCTCCTTGTACTATGGTACACAATCTTTTAAAAAAAACAAAAAAAACCAACAAATTATTTCCCTTGTCCTGAGTTGTCCGCCGCTACTTGAGCAGCGAACAGGTAAAAATCCTTCCCCCATAATGTCATTCTGTTGGTGACCTTACAATGTTGAAGGCCGGTCAAACTATTTCAAAAGTGACACGCATGTTTAATTGAAAACATTCTTTTCGTTGTATTCAAAAGATTATTATTTTAAACAATTCTTTATTTAATTCAACAATTGAAGATAGTGGAATTGTAAAGTTGGCTTTGTCCTTGTCAGCTATTTCTGGACAAGTTATAAACAAAACTATTACATCCTTGATACAATACCTAAGTCGTTAACATTTTGCATAAAATTTGTGTTAAAGATAAAGAGAATAGGACACGTTTTTTTTTCTTACCTGAAAATGTTTAAAGCTAACAGAATAAAAGATAAAAATTTTAAAAGGATTTCGTGTATTTCATATGAAGTTTTTGGACCACTATTTTTGTTGCTTTCTGTGGATGAATTATTAGCCGTATAATATTTAGTTGACGTGCGTTTTAAATTCTGTTATTGAAGTGGCTGAACAGTTACTTGTATATTTTAGGGCCGATTATCTATTTATGGAGTCATATAAGTTGATTTTAAACTACTTCTATAATATTTAAAGAACGTGATTCAAAATCTGTGATTTGAGTTGAACATTAATTAGGGGACGTGATTTTAAAGTCTGTGATTAGAGTTGATGATCATCATTTAGAGGACGTGTGATTTAAAATCGGTGATGTGAGTAAATGAAACTTGAAAGTCTAACCCTATAGCCGGATGTATTGACATAATAAACAAAAGTTTCAGTGGAGCGGACCTCTGTGGCTTTAGTTAATCTGGTGACGTTGGCGTGGTGAAGCCGGAATCGGAAAATGCACCGAATAGGAATAATTCTGGTTTTTTGTGCCTTAACAGGTTAGGTTTCGATTATTTTCTTCACTACAGAGTTTTAAATAATTTCTTTTTAATTTATTTTATATTTTGTTTTGTATTGATGTTTTTTTTTTATTGTTGTCAATGTTTCTTCCAGACTTTTTTCTCCGGGGGGGGGGGGGGGGGGGGGGGGGCGGACTAATTTAATTTAACCAATCAATTGCATTTATCTTAAATAGAATGCTATCGATGTTGTACGTTTATTGATATTGCACGGTTCTTGATCAAAACAATCTAGTTTATGTAAGCGTTTAACGACATCAGTAATCAGTTCCGTAATGCGATCATCTGCATGCTCTTATCATTCACAGAAAAGGCTGACAAATTAATACAAATGCAATAAAATTTCGATTAAATCCAAAAACTTAATTCGTTTAAAAGAATTATTATGCATAATTCTCAAGCAATCATTTTAACGAGTTATTAAAATGAATCAAATGCTTTTCAAAATCACCTGACAATTTTATTCTGAGTAATTACTTCATCCAAAATGGAGTTCACATCTGGCTTTGACCTCGGCATATAAAGGGATAGCGTGGTCAGCACCATGAACCGCCGCATTAAATTTTACTAACACGAGTCAGGTACCCATTAGAGCTGGGTGGACTCATAGACCTGCTGGTTAACAGCCAAGCACTCTACCGTGCGACCACGCCGTAACGTAATTGTATACTATCAAACTTTGAATACCTATATTCATGAGCACTTAGAATAATCTTTAACTCATTATAGAACCTTTAATTTAGGAAATTTTAAACACCTAATTAAATTAGCCGATACAAATTCAATGAAGCCAAAATAATACTAAGTTAATAGGCTGTAGACACAATCTGACAGACGACACAGCAAAAAAATTTCTCCTGGTCAATCCTCGATCTTTTAACCATGCTAATCTAGATAAACGATTAATAGCACAGTTCGTTTATTTTCTGAATGTGTCGAGGACTAATGCCTTAAAGACGCTTCCCTGAAGGTAGCTTAACCCTTTCAGGATCACAAGGATTACAGGCATAATTCCAAATATCTGTGCACACATTTAGTAGTAAAATGACACGTAGATTTCAAAAATGTTAACGGTTTTCCGCTATCTTCAATAGTTCTTGAGATACAGCATGGGACATATGTGTCCCTACGGTCCTCAAAGGAAAATTATCGAAAATAGGTTACGTTGTGAGTTATGTCAGTAGGTTTATTCTAAAAGTGATCTAACATGTGTTAGTTGTTCTGGTACATTAGAAATTGAAAATATCAGTATTGAGAACACATTTATGTCCTTTATGAGTGTATAGTCATCTATGAGTGGAGCTTATGGAAGCAGTTATGTGATGTTATATAAAATACACGAACATGGCAGATATAATACATATTGTCCGCTCTGTTCTCAATCTTTTCTGTTACACATTGTGCATAACTCCTGCGTTTTTCTTCCTATGATTTATCAACGTCTGGTGGGGTTGAAGTGAAATTCTTGCCTCTATGAACAGGTCTTGAGGTGATATCTCTTTGATGTAATCCCTAAATCTGAGCTCTCGCTATCATTTGCCTATATTCAAACTTGGTTTTGCATTGTAGCCAGCGTTGAATTCTTGTCAAATATAGGTATCAATGGCTTTTTGAATCCACATCATTATCTTGAAAACAAATTATCAATGTATGAAACGTGGATTTAATTGCCTAAAATCATTAGGATCTTCATTTCAAACAACATCTATTGTCAATTTCCTATAACCATAGTCAATAACTTTTATTGGAAACTGTGTTTTCAGAAGCCTATAGTTGAAAATAATATCTTGCTCCATTCTCCTGTTTCAATTATCACAAAAACGTTTGTTTGTTCATGTTTTGGGCAAGTCTAGTTCTATTGATGATAATGATATGTATCAGCTTCGGGTCTAGGACATTACCACCCCGTCCAATTCCCCTCCCCCCCCCCCCCCCCCCACCGATGCTGAAGACCCCTGATCTTAACCTCAAACTCCAAGCCTATAGCTAACCCTAACAAAACCCCTAACTCCACATCTAAATCAACATTTAACTCTAAAACTAGCCCTAACCCTAACCTAAGCCTAGTCCTAACTTATCCATAACTGGACGAGGGGTAATTGCTCGAAGGTGGTAATATCGGGTGGGGGGTGTCGGAGGGGTAATTGTAACTATTAACGCTCCCTTTGAGGGGAAAACTCTAGTGTACATCGTATATATTTTGTGTGCGGTGTTCTAAAAATCTCATACAAGGTAACATGTATTTTACGAAATGACAGCGCGGCATGATCACAAATACTGCGCGGACCACGCAGGTTTGAGGGAATATTAGTCACTATAGCATGTGACATTGACGATGTATGCAATGTATGCAAAACAGAATGACTAGAATAAGGTGTAGGCCTTATCGTAGTAGTGACAATCTGCTCTGGGACTTGAACAAGTCGTTTGATTATAGCTTGTACACTTACTTTGTCGGCATATTTCTACATGAAAATTCACATCTTTTTCATAAAGAAGCAAGTTGTTTTCATCGTCTTTATTGTAAATAAACAGTATTTGCACAGCATTTTGTTCAATTATAGTAAATAAAAGCTTTGCAACTATTTGTATTCTAATGCCAAAACTCATGCTTAGCAACGTTGTAAAAAAAGTTAGCTCCCTTCCGGACCGTAGGGACATATATGTCCCAAGCAAAAAAAATTACTTTTTAAAAAAAACAAGCAAAGCTATTAGGAAAAACAAATGTAAATATAATACCTAAATAGTAAATCTTTGAAAAACCGCCAGTAATTTCTTTCTGTTACAGTTAGTATTTTTTATATAAAAATGTAAACTGTAGCTTTGCGAATGGTCCAAAAATGCAAAGTTCCCATAATTATGACAACAAAACTATCTCATATATACTGAAATCAACTTTATTTATACTAAGTCTATCATGTAATAAATGTTTTAAAGCAAATTCAACAACTCTATGTTATTCCAATTTCATTTGGTGATTATTTGAAAATTTGGGACACTGGTGTCCCTTGGTCCTGAAAGGGTTAAGGAATTTGTTCAAATTGACCATTTCTTGAAAGCCGCATGCTTGATAAAATATATTAAAGATAAAAATCATTGTAAGTATTTTGTTTTGGGCAAATGTCTTTTGTGCAAATGTGTTTTGGGCAAATGTCTTTTGGGCAAATGTGTTTTGGGCAAATGTCTTTTGGGCAAATGTCTTTTGGGCAAATGTCTTTTGGGCAAATGTCTTTTGGGCAAATGTCTTTTGGGCAAATGTCTTTTGCATGTCCGCGCCCATTCCGTCCCACATGTTTTGTATGGATTAGAACCCTAAGATGTTCGGTTACCAGTCCAACGTTCAACTGTTGTGACCAGTCCTGAGATTTATGGGGCACCCTACAGTTAGGTCAAGGACATCCCACCCCACGGAAAAATTAAATTATAAGTGAAACATTAAAATATGACGCGGTCGCCCTTGCTTACATGGTACGTTAAGTGTTAACTGATCTACAATACAATTAGTTGGATTCGAACAGCCAGAATACACAAAATCAAAATATTTTCAAGACCACAATGCTTCTATTCGTTTCTTTATCAAATTTCTATCACCGTTGTCTAGACGACGTTTTTTCTTACAACTTTGGAGTTTGCAAAGAATTGCTTATCTTATAAACACTGTTTTTTTTATAATTTATTGTTCAATTTATTTATAGAAACTGTTATCATTATTTATGAGCATAAAAATAACACATACAATACTTCCGCAATATCCCCACACACTAATAAAATGTTATCTAGTCGGGGTTTTTAACACGTCGCTGTAGGAAGACAACTGAAAGAGAGAAGTTTATCAGGTACAAGGTGCTCTAAAATTATCGGAACTTGTCACGTAGGAAGATGGCGAAATAGTTTTATGATTAAAAACTTTAGAGGGGAAGCCAAATCACGATACGTCCATGATGGTGAGATGGGTGTCTTAATATGTTTATCTAAACAATTTAAGAGTTTAGATACGCCTCTGTTGCAAATATATAAGTGTCTAGATACGCCTCTGTTAACAACATAATTGTCTAGATACGCCTCTGTTGTCAATATAATCGTCTAGATACGCCTCTGTTGCCAATATAATAGTCTTGAAACGCCTCTGTTACCAATATAATAGTCTAGACACGCCTCTGTTGTCAATATAATAGTCTAGTTACGCCTCTGTTGCCAATATAATAGTCTAGATACGCCTGTCTGGTTAATATAAGTGTCTATATACGTCTCTCTCGTTAATATAAGTGTCTATTTACGCCCCGATAAGTGTCTAGATACGCCTCTGAGGGTAATAGAAACGCCTTGGATTATGCATAGCGCCGAAAGTAAATAATTTTTGGGCAGAAAAATTCTCTTTTAAATTAAACTTGCAATCTTTCTCTCCCTCCCCTCCCCCTCATTCTAAAACCCCACGCTTACATACACAACCCCCACTATCCCACACACTGTTTACGGATGTAATAATTTATGGCCAGTCACGTGTTCTGTAGAGTCTACAGGCAAGATCAACTTAACCTGGTGTTAAGTAACTAAATCAACAGGTAATAAACAGGTCAGGTAAGACAGGCCTTTGTGTATCTACAAATATGAAGGAATATTAGAAACCTTACGCTTCCATTCGTGACTTTTTACTACGCTCTCTACGTATTTCAACATTTCACTTATACTTATGGTGTTTTTTTCTGTCTGACCAACAGCTACTAGAAAAATATCTCCTGAATAAACACAATACTTGATTATTGGTACTATGTCACAAGACAGAGGACTCTGGGGGTCTTTGATTGGCGGCCCATACCCCAGCAAGGGATGACGGGTAGTGATAATGATGACGATGATGATTATTCTAGTTTATTAAGTCATTAAGGTTTGAGTGAGAATTCATACGGTTGAAAGCTTAATTGAGGGGGCAATGAGATGATCCACCTCCCCCCCCAACACTCACACACATACAATCACAAAGTCAAGGTCACCGTCCAGTTTCTTTCTTTTAACTTTTTTTTTTGTCGGGTGGGAGGAGGGGGGGGGGGGCGCTTGAAAATTTTGGAGTGTCCGTGAGGGCTCAATTTTTCCATGGGACGGGCTGACACTTGTAAAAGTATATAGTTTCTGTATAAATACTATTTCGTTCGGGGGGACGTGGCGAAGCTGGAAGTGGAGGGGGGGGGGGTAGAATCACCTGAAAGAAAGTGTTCATCTAACTAATGACTTATAGAAAACGAGTTAAATTACAAAGCATATCTATTACAATGTCATGTTGTCTTTTCAGAAAAGGCGTTTTGTTCTTGAAGTTACCCATTACCGTTTATAGACAGAAAAATTAATTAAAAAATAGGTGGTTATAAACAGAGGCGTAGCGAGGGGGGGGGGCGGACCGCACCGGGTGACACCATTTAGGGGGGATGATACCAAGGCAAAAAAATAGTAATTTATATAGAGAAAACTTTGAGGGGGGTGGGGTGCAAATCGAAAGTTTGAGGGAGAGGGGGGGGGGTGCAAATCGAAAATTGAAAGTTTGTCCCCGGGAAGAGTCGCTACGCCTCTGGAAGGGGGGGATGACACCATTAAGTGCCGCAGCGGGTGACACCCGATCTCGCTACGCCACTGGTTATAAAGGTGTCTGGTGGTTTGGTGTACAGAAGCCAATGAAATAGTGGGTGTGGAGTCGAAGTTGGGGGGGGGGGGGTTGGCCGGAATTGTGAGTACATGTACACTGTTGGGTTAAGGACATGTGCAGTTTATGACTAGCAATCGCATACAGCAACGGTATAAAGTGGTATTTGATGTGGACTTCGATGTAGCCTTTGGTGTAGCCTGTAGCTTTAGGTGTAGCCTTTGGTGTAGCCTGGTGCCACGGCACTCAACTGACAGCCAATATTCTAATTATAGAATTAAACCAGTCCATACCGGTTGTGAAATGTCTTTTAAAATACCCCGTCATGTTTTTTTAAATTATAGCCTCGACCTTAACTACCTTGAGCCAAAGTTTCGCAAATCGCCCCAAAAAAAAAAACCCCGCGATTTGAAAGAAGTCTGTTGATGTATCAGAACCAGGATATTTGCCAAGGGAAAAAAAAGTTTATTGATTTACCTTTCGTGACGCGGAGTCGCGTTACCCAGGACTGACGCAATATCTAGGGTTTGATGGATGGGGGGCACTTGATGCGTGGGGTGCAGGGATAGGGGCTAGGCTGGGGTGGGGGTATCTGGTGGCTGGGGTGGGGGTGGTAGCACTAGTCACAAGTGGTAAAGATATATTTATAATTGGTGTTTCATATTTCTCAATATGTGTCTGTTACCTTAAAACTCCCGATATTGCAGCTGCAACTGTTGGATATTTTGTGTTTGTTTATGCTTGTATCCTTGGAGTACCTCTTCAAGTATTCAGTTTCACACATTAGGTTCATCAAATATAATTTACATCCTATACACCGTACCCCATCCCCAAATATCTGCCATTATTTCAGTCGCTCTCTGCTTTATTTAGACCACCCCCATACCTTTTTTTCTAACCTATGTTATCAAAGTACTAATCAATTTTAATTCAAGCAATCCATACATTTGATACGTTTTTGTTTTTAAGCATCCCTCTTAGATTAAATGTCTGACGAAATCTTTACATTATTTGCTAAAAGCAGAGACCTAGAAAGCTTATTTTCTTTTAACCCATGTGATGTAGAGTTTAACCAAATTCAAGCCAATAGAAATCTCTTAAGCTAATTCAATCTTCGCCAAAAATAAAAAATAAACGTGAAACCCGATGTCAAGGTCGTTTCCTAAAATAAACACGGATTCTGATTTACATATGACAAAAATATTTGATTTTGTAAATCCGTTTCTGGGAAAGACATGTTGACTTTCATCTTAAATATTTGCTGTTGTGAAGTAAAAGATAGGGTTATTACTTGTAGACAGTGGCGTAGCGAGGGGGGGGGGGGGTGCGGATCGCACCGGGTGACACCATTTAGGGGGTTGACACCAAGGCAAAAAATAGCAAAATATATAGAGAAAAAATGATAATTTCATTTAATTAAGTGATTAATTCGAGTGTTAAATAGTGCTTTAAGAGCAAATTTGACAAATCCCGACAAAGGTGGAGGGGGGGGGGGGGGGGGGGCTGCAAATCGAAAGTTTGAGTGGCGCCGGGAAGGGTCGCCTCTGGGGGGTGACACCATTAAGTGCCGCACCGGGTGACACCTGACCTCGCTACGCCACTGCTTTTAGATTCTATTTGTAACTCTACATTATTTTAACTTTGCTATTGGCATTTTGCAATTTTTCTAATTTATTAGTAGCGTTAATATTTGTGACTTTGTTCTTTATAACTTTTCTGTTTGTAACTTTACATTTTGAAATTGCTGTTTGTTTGAGATGTAACCAGGGGCGTAGCGAGGGGGGGGGGGGGGCGGGGGGGTGCGTACCGCACCGGGTGACACCATTTAGGGGGGTGACACCAAGGCAAAAAATAGCAAAATATATAGAGAAAAATTTGAGGGGGGGGGGGGTGCAAATCGAAAGTTTGATGGGGGGTGCAAATCGAACGAAAGTTTGAGGGGGGGGGGGTGCAAATCGAAAATTTGAAAGTTTGTCCCCGGGAAGGGTCTCTACGCCTCTGGGGGGGGGGGTGACACCATTAAGTGCCGCACCGGGTGACACCCGACCTCGCTACGCCATTGGATGTAACTATAAATTTAATTATTCTAAAAAATGTCTTGAATTATTTTCTTGATTAGACTACTACTTCGAACTGTAATTAATGAACATCTCTACTCTAGAAGTCCCTGTAGTGTCTCTGTATCTTACTTTGTTATTTTAAAGTCTAGACGAATGTTGTAGGTAATTACATGAGCGTATCTGCAGCATGGTTGCATGGTAGAGCGCGCGATCTCAACCCTAACTTCTCAAGTTCATATCCCGGATTCTAGTCAAAATGACGTCACTGTGTATACCAAACTCCGATTGTTTGCTAACTCGCGGGAAAGTAAAGACGACTGGCCATAGAACTCACCACACTATCCCTTCATATTCTGTGGTCACTGAGACAGATGAACTCTACTTCATCTGACTACTCACTAAAACTTGTTCAGTGTTTCTTACAGACTTGTTTTCTCCAGGGGGGGGGGGCACTTGATATTTTCGTAGGGGGGGGGGGGGGGCGATAGACTTTCTTCGGGGGGGGGGGGGGGGGGCTCCGCTCTGAACGCGTTAAAGAAACCACTTTCCTAACTAGTTAATTGAGTAAATATTACTTGCCCCCTTGCACATAAACCTAATCTAATTTTTGTATTCACTGCTGATGCCATGTGTAATTTTTAATTACGTCACCAGCTGCTCAACTTCGAACCCAGGATGACCTTAACCTCATGGCACGTGTCCTGAAGGTCTCGTGGACAGTGGTGACCAACACGGAGGAAGTAGAGCGATACAATGTGGAGCTAACTCTGCAGAACGACGCGACCAACCTGAGCCTGAGTTACGGTCCCTGGAAGATTTACTTCGACTGTATCTACATGATCGAGCCCGACCTGCTGGGGGCGGGGGGCAACAGGAGCGCCCTGCTGGTGGGTCAAGGGGTCAAGGTCACTCACGTGCAAGGGACCTTTTTCATCCTGGAGCCGAGTCCTGCATTCTCTCCTATGCCGCCCAAATCAAAAAGAAAATTTTTCTTTAAGGTAGATCAAGTTACGGTTGGGGGTCATCCATTTACGGCGACTTTGTGTACGCGTTTGGCCTGAGGGGGGGGGGGGAGGGGGTAAAAAATCCGAAATGTTTGTGGAAGTAAAAAATGAATGACTCCTTGTAGAATGCTTCGATAGTTGTGTAATTGTGAGAACAGATGAAATAAAGTTAATGTGTTGGGACCAAGCTAGTGGGAATACTAATTACTATTTTCATTATATCTCATTTATTTTTCTGTTCATCTGCAGGTTCAGTTCTGGTCGGTTTCTAGAACCGACAACATGCCCAACTGGTACCTGGCGCAGCAGGGATTCGAACCTGCGATTATTGAAAGCACCCGAGATCTGTCATACGTGGCTGACAAAACCACGCCTGCACAGTGGAAGCGATTTAATTATGATTACTTTAACCCTTTCACGTCACAGGTAAGTAAACCAGTTTAACCCTTTCACGTATATATTATATACACACACATATATATATATATATATATATATATATATATATATATATATATATATATATATATATATATATATATATATATATATATATATATATATATATATACGTATAAGGTCTCTGACCCCACTCGACAAAACTCGATACACTTTTAACATTCCTTGACCCTACTCTACCTCTCCTAAGTAGCCTACATGACAGATACAGCTGTTACATTACAGATACAGCTGTTACATGCCAGATAAAGTTGTTACATGACAGATGAAGCAGCGACCTATGACATATCAAGATAGTCATGGTCTGTGTCAGCTTATCTTTTCTTCCCCTGAGAGAACTTCAAAAACCACAAGCCTTTTAGAACTTTGGACACACTTAAGCACAGTGTGCTTACTTCCACAGAAGATCCATGTCGATTGGTTTCTGGTGTAACTGATGTATACATCACTTATGGCGACTTATGCATTACGTCAGGGGCGTAGCTAGTGTGGGTAGACTAAGTACGACAACCGCGTCATTTTGGAAAGGATGTTTGTGAATTTACATTTTTTTGGTCATATTTTCAACTTCTAAATTTTATGCTTAAAAACCTTCTAAAATAAAAACAAAACACAATCTTGATATATTTCTCATTGTATTTTAAAATAAGAGTATTATTAAATACTAGATAAATGGCCCGTTGAGGAAGGGTACAACGGGCGCTAGGCTGATAGTGCTGTCTCTTTTCTCTAAACTAAAACCAACCCACCCCCCCCACACACCACCCCCACCCCCACCACCCCCACCCCCACACCCCCACCCCCACAAACCACCCCCACCCCCCACCACACACCAACCCCACCCCAACCCCTCACCCCCACACTCCACCCCCCACCCCCCACCACACACCGCCCCCCACCCCCACCCCCCCCCAAAAAAAAAACATGTCTACCGTCCCATTCAACGAAATATAATTATATACTTTTTCCAGTGTCCGCCCCCTCCCAGAAAATTCTACCCCCCGCCCCCGAAAATTTCAAGTACCCCCACCCCTCTCCGGGGAGGAAAAAGTCTGAAAGAAACACTGAAACCAACCCACCCCCCACACACCACCCCCCACCCCCCCCACACCACCCCCCCCCCCACACACACACCACCCCCCACCCCACCCCTCCACCACCCCCCACCCCCAAAAAAAACATGTCTACCGTCCCATTCAACGAAATATAATTATATACTTTTTCCAGTGTCCGCCCCCTCCCAGAAAATTCTACCCCCGCCCCCGAAAATTTCAAGTACCCCCACCCCTCTCCGGGGAGGAAAAAGTCTGAAAGAAACACTGAAACCAACCCACCCCCCCACACACCACCCCCCCCCCCCCACCCCCACACACCACCCCCCCCCCCCCACACACACCCCCCACACCCCCCCCCCCCCCCCAAAAAAAAACATGTCTACCGTCCCATTGCAAGAAAACCACTTTTTAGATTAGACACATTAATTAGGCGGTAATTTTATTATAGAGTATCGATGAGGAAATTTCTTTTGAGTTGGGGAGGGGGAGGGGCTCAGACGTTCTTACGCGGGGGGTGGGGCTTCGCCCCTACCCGAAGAATTGTATGCAAGAAACTCTTCACGCAAACCACTTAGATTAGACAACATTTCCTCTTTATTCAATATTTACGCCAGAATCAATGACGTCATTATATTACTGTGAGATTATTTTCTACTCTGTGCGCTAAATGTGTCGACGTCATACTTCGTTTTTCGAATTACTATGCATGTTTTTAAATTGCTTGTCTTTTCTCTAGAGCGTTCTTGTCAGACAGATAGATAGATAGATAGATAGATAGATAGATAGAGAGACAGCGAAACTATTATTATAGATTAATACGAACTTCAATTCAAATATTTATTGTAATGTAAGATAACTTGTATGGGAAACCTAGTCGAGAATGCGCTATTCCAATCTAACATTGGTCCAAGTTGGAACATGCACATAGAGTACATAGTCTTACATTTTAAACTGCTAGTCTCTTAGCTTTCCTTGCAATCGTTCCCGTGAACGTGTAGCCGAATAGGAGAACTTAATACGTTTTTATAAGGTGTGTTTGTTTACCTGAAGTCCTTGACATGCTTCTTCACATAAAATAGAAGATATAAATAGCACAGTTTCTAAGTCGGAAGTAAAATCTGAAGGTGCTTATACGTTTAAAAATACAATTTTACGTGTCTGTGCTAGTGTGTGTAAATAATAGATGCAGTGTTTAGAGTTTTATGTTTCTATTGTTGTGGCATAGCATTGGTCTGTAAACACGTAAACACATATACATACACACATGTACAAACATATATATATATATATATATATATATATATATATATATATATATATATATATATATATATATATATACAAATATGTATATATATATACATATATACAAATATGCATTATATATATATATATATATATATATATATATATATATATATATATATATATATATATATATATATATATATATATATATATATATATATATATATGTCTAGATAGAATAATCCATTTGTTTATGAAGATACATTGACGCACATCTGTAAGCAGCCTATCTCTCATGCATTGACCAGCTGTTTGTGTAGATAGTTTCAATTAACTGTTCATCAAAGCACAAGTTTTAGTCCAGCATCCAAACACTTTAGGGTCATCTATAAATGACGTCACGCTTTTTTTGAAGATTTTTACCTCCCCCCCTTCCCCTCCGTCACACATCGTCACAAAAAGCCTTACCCCCTAAAATGACGTCACACCTCATCCTACAACCCTCCTCAAAATTGCAGTTAAATTTTTCTTAAAATACGATATTTTTCCAAAATCTTGTCTGAACTCTGTCAACATAGAGTATTTTAATCGATTCCTGTTACATTTTATTAAACAGTTTTCTATCTAAAATGCGATATAGCGGCTAAAATTCGTTTTTATAACATTGCTTTCTTTATAATGCAAAAGTGTGACGTCACACCATCTGAACACCCTCCCCCCCTCTTCCCCACAACACACACCGTTACAAAATTACCCCCCTCCCCCTGCGAGCTTGACGTCATTTATGGACGACCCCTAAGAGACGAATTACAAACTTTTGAGTAACTGCTTGTGTTCCATGTCTTTCCAGGAACGATACGACAGAAATTACATCCCTTTGGCCGCTGACGATACAGAGGTTCGAATCCTACCCAAGCCAGTAAGCCTCCAGGTGAAAAGCTCCAGCAAGCTGACCATCGACATCACGTGGTACATCGGCTATGTTGGACAGCTGGCCAGTGAAGCTTCCTACTTGGGCTGTGAGTATCACGTGGTACAATCTACAATTGTCCTTGGTATCATTTGTCCTGATATGTTTTGTCCGTGAGATCATTTGTCCTTGATATAATTTGTCCTGGGACCATTTGAACGTGAGATATTTTGTCCGTAAAATATTTTGTCTGAGATATTTTGTCTGGGATATTTTGTCTGAGATCATTTGTCCTGCCACCACTGACCACAGAAGTCTATCATTTAAATTTATTTATCAATGAACACATTACTATGCAAATACGATTTTGTGTTTTTGTGTGATTTTTCCTTTAATAGTCAGCTGAGTTCACTCAGCTATAATGAGTACCTGAATTGAGATTGAGATAAAGGCGAAAAGACAAAGTTCAGATAATACTAGCTCTTTATATTTCGTTGTCATGGAAAAACAGATTAACTCTACTTCAGAGACGTAGCGATGGGGGGGGGGGAGCAGGGGAGTACATATGTCCCCGGGCTCCGACCTTAGGGAACGCCAAAATGGGTTGTAAAAACAAATTGAAATGTCATTTAGCTGCACTTTTGCATTATAAATAGTTAGAGGGGGGTGCAAATCGAAAGTTTGAGGGGGATGCAAATTAAAAATTTGCTCCCGAGGGGGGCGCCAAATTGAAAGTTTGTCCCCGGGCGCCTGGAAGGGTCGTTGTGCCTCTGGTCTACTTCATCTTACAATGGATCTTTTTGTTAAAATTTACATTTCTCTGAATAAAAATCATATAATTAAAGTAATTACAACACATTCATAACACCTATCCACAGCTTATATCGGTCTGCCTAAACATCGCATAACCCCAGGGGCCATCCGCCCGGCGCCCAACACCATCGGACTCCGCATGGCCAACATCAGCCTCAACGCCGAGGCCTACACTCTCACGGTGAACGCTTCAACAGCCACAATTCACATCATTGGGCAGACGGCCGCTGGTGTGTTTTACGGGATTGTCTCCCTTATAGCTTTAATGGTGGGTTGTCTTCTCTTGCTTTGGTAAATAAAATTTAAAATTGTACGTGTTTTTTTTAAAACTATCCTGTAAAGGTTGCGCTTAGATAACGGTTAAGTATAGAGCTTATTTGGTGTCAATGTTGGGGTTAAAATAGCCTGGTACAAAAAAGTAGGGTTAAAATAGCCTGGTACAAAAAGGTATGGATAAAATAGCCTGGTACAAAAAGGTAGGGATAAAATAGCCTGGTACAAAAAGGTAGGGATAAAATAGCCTGGTACAAAAAGGTAGGGATAAAATAGCCTGGTACAAAAAGGTAGGGATAAAATAGCCTGGTACAAAAAGGTAGGGATAAAACAGCCTGATACCACTTAAATGGAAAGCTATTGGTTTATAATTAAAGCTTTCATAGCCAACATACAAGCTGACAGAACGAGACAAAAACAATACGTAGTACATCTGAGGGAATAGTTAATTTTTAAAATTCAAATATCATTAATAATTAATATTGAAGCGATTAATATAAAAGATCCCCGCATTTTATATACTTTACAAGATATTTTATTTGTTAGGCTACAGAAATGTTTATTCATCCACTAAGGTCAAATAGGCCTACAGATTTTATTTCCCTCTTGCATTTTTAATGCTCTTTTTACTGCTTATTGTTTTATTTATTTATTTATTTATATTTTTTGCAATAAGGGGAAACAACCCTGACATCGGTACACTTGTTGAACATTTCATCAGTTGTCGGTACTGAGTACGATTACACGTCAAATAAAATGTCCTTGTTTGTCGTTTTACTATTAATACCCATTCAATTGTCGCTTCTTGTTTTAGTGTGTGTGTGTGTGTGTGTTGCTATAGTATAGCCTATCTATACCTTTTAAAAACAAAACATTTTAAAATAAACATGTTTACGTTTAGTAGCAAGATTTAAAACGCTCTTACACACTACAACTCTAACACACTAGACTAACACACTAGATGTGTAAAACAGAACGCACTAACACACTAGAGCCAAAAAACACTACAACCCTAACTCACCAGATTAACACACTAGATCTTATACACACTAGACCCCTTGCACTCGAGACTTTCCAGATTATTCCTTTTTATTTTTTCCTACAGAACGAGAAAGGTCAAGTTCCAGAGGTCGATATAGTGGACAGTCCAAGATTTGGGTACCGAGGTCTGATGCTGGACATCGCTAGAAACTTCCATGACAAGGGGCAGATAATCCGGATACTGGAGGTTCAGCCCCATTCATTACCTCCCTGTTTCATACAATTTTTAAAATATCTTTTTTAAATTCAATTTCGTTTTTGGAACTCAAACATTTGTTTTATCTTTATTTGATTTAAAAACAATATAAGTGTAATGTGTATGGTAAGATTTAGCCAGTGTCAACAAAATATGGGGACGGAGTGGTCTAGCGGTAGAGAGCTGGACTGCTAACCTGTAAGTATCGAGTTCGAATCCGGGTTCAAGTCAGTAGACCGTCCCTGAGTCCACCCAACTCTGATGGGTACATCAGAAACAAGTCAACTTTTTTGAAAGGGGACTTCACTACTTACAACACAATATAGCTGTACTATAATGGGTTGTGCTTTTTTTTAAAATAATTCCTTTTAAACTACGAACTAATTAAGAATAAAATTGATGTTTTAATAAAAGAGGTAATAATTTTACGTTTTGGCTGTATTGAAAAAAGCAGTTATTTTATTAGATCGTGTATATATTGTTTTAAAATAGTGGATGGGCAAGCTGAAGTTGAACGTGCTACATCTACACCTGACGGACGACGAGGGCTGGAGGCTCGAAGTGCCAGATCTGCCAGAACTTGTACAGGTAAACAAATGTTTTGTTTGAGATTTGTGCCAGAACTTGTACAGGTAAACAAATGTTTTGTTTTAGACTTGTGCCAGAACTTGTACAGGTAAATGATATGTTTGAGACGTGGGCCAGAACTTGTACAGGTAAACAAATGTTTTGTTATAGACTTGTGCTAGAACTTGTACAGGTAAATAAATGTTTGAGATTTGTTCCAGAACTTGTACAGGTAAATCATTTGTTTGAAACGTGAGCCAGAACTTTGTGTCGTGACGCTAACAAAATGTCCATTTGTCACGAAGCTAAACAAAATGTCCATTTATGACATGAAGCTAACAAAATGTCCATTTGTGTCATGAAGCTAACAAAATGTCCATCTTTTTCCCATCAACCGCTTAGCTTGGCTCGAGAAGGTGTCATGACGTCACTGAGACCCAGTGTCTGCTGCCCCAGCTGGGGTCGGGCCCACGTGACACCCCCCACGGGAGCGGCCACCTCAACTCCTCCGACTACCGCGAGATTCTGGAGAGGGCCAACGTCCTTCACGTCAAGGTCATTCCGGAGTTTGATATGCCAGGACATGCACGAGCAGCCATCAAGGCAATGAAGGTACGGCTAAACAAATTGTACAAGTTGTGTATGGGAATTACATCAAGGCAATAAAGGTACGGCTAAACCAATTGTACAAGATGTGTATGTAGATACTGGTGTACTTTCCATCATTACTTGCATGAAGAAAACAACATATCAGTGTACTGTTTCATGTTGAGGAGTACCATTTATCTGACTGTCCGTTTTGTATAGTTTTATTCTTCCAATTAGCTGTATACTCATTAGATGAATATAGCAGAAATCAATACTTATTAAACAGTGATTTTTATACTAAACCGTAGGTGGTTGAGGTATTGTTGTAGACGATTTTATTGCAACGATTACCTGGGTAAGGTTAATCAGATAGTATTGTTTTATTTTGTAGAAGTTTAAATTTATGTTAATTAATATTCAAAACTAATTAAATAACCATGTTATGAAAACATATAGCGGTGTAAATGTCTGTAAAGCGGTTTCTTCTCGAACATTCTAGCTTAGGGCTGCAACAGGGGCTGGCAATGATACGGTCCTGACGGAGGACGGGGACCCCTCGGTCTACTCCTCCCCCCAACAGTTTACGGACAATGCCATCAACCCTTGCCTGGAGTCCACGTATAAATTTATCAGCATAATTATGGATGAGGTCAGTGGTCAGTTTGTTGTGGGAAGTGAAGGTATAATGAGATGAGTGGTCAGTTTGTTGTGGGAAGTGAAGACATGAGATGAGTGGTCAGTTTGTTGTGGGAAGTGAAGGTATAATGAGATGAGTGGTCAGTTTGTTGTGGGAAGTGAAGGTATAATGAGATGAGTGGTCAGTTTGTTGTGGGAAGTGAAGGTATAATGAGATGAGTGGTCAGTTTGTTGTGGGAAGTGAAGGTATAATGAGATGAGTGGTCAGTTTGTTGTGGGAAGTGAAGGTATAATGAGATGAGTGGTCAGTTTGTTGTGGGAAGTGAAGACAGTTATAAGATGAGTGGTCAGTTTGTTGTGGGAAGTGAAGGTATAATGAGATGAGTGGTCAGTTTGTTGTGGGAAGTGAAGACAGTTATAAGATGAGTGGTCAGTTTGTTGTGGGAAGTGAAGGTATAATGAGATGAGTGGTCAGTTTGTTGTGGGAAGTGAAGGTATAATGAGATGAGTGGTCAGTTGGTTGTGGGAAGTGAAGGTATAATGAGATGAGTGGTCAGTTGGTTGTGGGAAGTGAAGACATTATGAGACGAGTGGTCAGTTGGTTGTGGGAAATGAAGACATGAGATGAGTGGTCAGTTTGTTGTGGGAAGTGAAGGTATAATGAGATGAGTGGTCAGTTTGTTGTGGGAAGTGAAGGTATTATGAGATGAGTGGTCAGTTTGTTGTGGGAAGTGAAGGTATAATGAGATGAGTGGTCAGTTTGTTGTGGGAAGTGAAGACATGAGATGAGTGGTCCGTTTGTTGTGGGAAGTGAAGGTATAATGAGATGAGTGGTCAGTTTGTTGTGGGAAGTGAAGGTATAATGAGATGAGTGGTCAGTTTGTTGTGGGAAGTGAAGACATAATGAGATGAGTGGTCATTTTGTTGTGGGAAGTGAAGGTATAATGAGATGAGTGGTCAGTTTGTTGTGGGAAGTGAAGGTATTATGAGATGAGTGGTCCGTTTGTTGTGGGAAGTGAAGGTATAATGAGATGAGTGGTCAGTTTGTTGTGGGAAGTGAAGGTATAATGAGATGAGTGGTCAGTTGGTTGTGGGAAGTGAAGGTATAATGAGATGAGTGGTCAATTTGTTGTTGGAAGTGAAGGTATAATGAGATGAGTGGTCAGTTTGTTGTGGGAAGTGAAGGTATAATGAGATGAGTGGTCAGTTGGTTGTGGGAAGTGAAGGTATAATGAGATGAGTGGTCAGTTGGTTGTGGGAAGTGAAGGTATAATGAGATGAGTGGTCAGTTTGTTGTGGGAAGTGAAGGTATAATGAGATGAGTGGTCAGTTTGTTGTGGGAAGTGAAGGCATAATGAGATGAGTGGTCAGTTTGTTGTGAAGGCATAATGAGATGAGTGGTCAGTTTGTTGTGGGAAGTGAAGACAGTGTAAAACTTGTTATGGGCAGAGATGTCGGAGTTTATCAAGTTGGTGAGACGAGTTTAAGGACAGACTATTACATGGTAGCACCTGTTTACTTAAGCGAGAGAAATGTTCCAACTTATTCATTTAGGAATATGTGATGTTAAGCCAGGCCGTTCAAATGATAAAGTAAAGTTGAATCTAAGTTCTGTTTTAAATCTGACGGTCTATGGGGCAAGTGATGTAGAGTATGCTTGTTTATGTGCCCTCAGCATATGAAGGGATAGTGAGGTCAGCATTATGCTTACGTTCCCTAATGTGAGTTAGAGGTGGAGGACTTGGAAATGTTCTACGAACGTCAACCCATACAACGTCCCTGAGTCCACCCAGCTCTGATGGGTTCCTAACTCAAGCAAATGTTGAAAATGTCAATGAATTAAAAATGTTAAATGACGACAATGTGTTTGGAAAAAATATTGCATATATTACTTATCAAAGCCAAAGTCAACATAACAAAGTCATAAACAGATTCGGATCATTTTATTTTAGTTCCATAATTCAGCATTATACAACAGCTGTACTGTTTTCTTGTTATACAACAACAGCTTCGTCTTCCTGATATACAACAGCTGCACTGGTTTCCTGTTATACAACAGCTGATTTATGATTTCCTGTTATACAACACTATCATTATATTTTCCTGTTCTTTAGATAATTAGACTGCATGCGGCGGGCAAACAGCCCCTAGAGGTGTTCCATTTTGGCGGGGATGAGGTGGGACGGGGGGCGTGGCTCAACTCTACAGCCTGCCAGAGGCTGAGGTCTGAGGGGAAACTGCCTGGTGGCTCCCCCAAGTGGTATTTCTTCCAGGTGAGCTACAGGTGTGGTCTGGATCAAATACAGGTGTAGTCTAAATACTGCAGGTGTAGTCTAGATACTGCAGGTAGTCTTAGTCCAGCTAGACCACAGGTGTTCAAATTCTAGGTAAACCACGGCTGGTTACCATGTAGTTATGTATACCTTCACATTAAAAAATAAATATTCAACACTTAAATCATGGAACCACCAACACATACACAACCCGACACACAGATATATGCATACATATATACAGCACTGACAATAAATTAACTGCCAAGAAATAGAATGCCCAGTATTTGTAGTACAACACAAATCAGGAGATACGCCTCTGTATTTTATAAGAGATATATAGGTAATCAGCAGGCTAAAAAACATTTAAAAGGAAGAAAAGATGGATATGGTAAACTCCCAATACCACCCTACCCTCCCCCCCCCCTACACACATAGTCACACACCAAAACATACAAACAAAATGAAACACAGCTCAACAAAGCTTGTATTAAACCAGTGGACAACACAGAGAATGGAAATCCAAAAATGTCCTGGAAAAAATCAGTCGAGAGAGAGATGGGAAAGGTTGGATTGACGTGGCTGGGGTGAAGAAAAAAATCCAACCAACAACGAGCGTTGGCGAAGTGTCTTCTCGGCCGTACGCTCACTGGCGAAACAAAAATAACACCAGTATAGGCACACGTTATCCATACACATAACAATAGACCTCTCATTATATAAACATCAAAATAATCCTCACTTTATAAACACATCAAAGAACGACTGTTTTAGAAGGGTACGGTACAATTTACTTACCTTTTCATTTCAGAGAGTTTCTCAACTAGCAGCGGCGAGGAAATTATCTCTTGGAGCGTGGGAGGATGGTCTCATTTTAGACAACAACCCATTTAATGTGTAGGTTCTACATTCTGTAGGGGTTACCTAGCTTGATATGGGAGCTAATAGTTTTAGACAACAACCCATTTAATGTGTAGGTTCTACAGTTTGTAGGGGCTACCTAACTTATAGGGGAGTTAATGGACAACAGTCCATTTAAATGTGTTTGGTTACATTTCGTAGGGATCACCTAGCTTTATAGGGGAGCTAATCATGTTTAAAAAAGTCTATTTGATCAATGAGTTTACATTATGTAGGGGATACTAAAATTTATAGTTTGTTGGAAATTAGTCGAGATAAATTAGCACTACAGGGGAGCTAATTATAATAGATGAAAGCCTATATATAGGGTAGTTAATTATGTTCGATGAAAGTCCATGTGTGCGATTGAAATTTGTAGGAAGTACTGAACTTTTCACAGACCCTAATCAAGTTAGACCAAAATCATTTGTTATTTTAATGCCTGCTAATATAATGATTAGATTATTGCCCTTTTCTTACGATGAGTTACCTGTCCTTATAAATTATTATACTTGACGTGACTCCCCAGGTCAAGCGCCAACGTCTCTAACGTCTACGCCTACGCTTGGGACAACGTCTGGGAGTGGGGGACGATAGCTCGAACCTACACCCTGGCCAACAGGGGGTATAAGGTGAGTCAACGTTTGGGGTGGGGGTGTGGGGGGGTGGACCTACACCCTGGCCAACAGGGGATACAAGGTGAGTCAACTTGTGGGGGTGGGGGACCATAGCTCGGACCTACACCCTGGCCAACAGGGGGTACAAGGTGAGTCAACGTCTGGGGGGGTGGACCTACACCCTGGCCAACAGGGGGTACAAGGTGAGACAACTTGTGGGGGTGGGGGACCATAGCTCGGACCTACACCCTGGCCAACAGGGGGTACAAGGTGAGTCTGGGGGTGGGGGTGGGGTCGGACTGACACCCTGGCCAACAGGGGATACAAGGTGAGTCAACGTCTGGGGGGTGGGGGTGGACCTACACCCTGGCCAACAGGGGGTACAAGGTGAGTCAACGTCCGGGGGGGGGGTGGACCTACACCCTGGCCAACAGGGGGTACAAGGTGAGTCTGGGGGTGGGGGTGGGGTCGGACTGACACCCTGGCCTACAGGGGATACAAAGTGAGTCAACGTCTGGGGGGTGGGGGTGGACCTACACCCTGGCCAACAGGGGGTACAAGGTGAGTCAACGTCTGGGGGTGGGGGTGGGGGTGGACCAACACCCTGGCCAACAGGGGATACAAGGTGAGTCAACTTCTGGGGGTGGGGGTGAGGGGTGGATGGACCTACACACTGGCCAACAGGGGGTATAAGGTGAGTCAAGGTCTGGGGTGGGGGACGATAGCTCGGACCTACACACTGGCCAACAGGGGGTACAAGGTGAGACAAGGTCTGGGAGTGGGGGACGATAGCTCGGACCTACACACTGGCCAACAGGGGGTACAAGGTGAGACAAGGTCTGGGAGTGGGGGACGATAGCTCGGACCTACACACTGGCCAACAGGGGGTATAAGGTGAGACAACGTCTGGGAGTGGGGGACGATAGCTCGGACCTACACACTGGCCAATAGGGGGTACAAGGTGAGTCAACGTCTGGGGGTGGGGGTGGGGGTGGACCAACACCCTGGCCAACAGGGGTTACAAGGTGAGTCTAGTCAACATCTTACATCATTAGACATATTTGATTACGTTTTATTCTTAGCCGAGGGAGGCTTGGCACATCTTTTAAAAACACAACACACTGTGTCCATCGTTGGTGTTGGCGATCTGTGTAGATATTACACACTACACGCTGGCATCGAGCACACGTGTGACACGTGATTTCTGTTCCCCAGGTAGTCATGGCCCACGCCTCTCACCTGTACTTTGACCACCCCTACGAGCCCGACCCAGAGGAAAGGGGCTACTACTGGGCCACACGGTATACAGGTATGAGCAGACGACAGTGGGTGTGGACGAGGGGGGGGAGTGATGATACCGCAATAAGTTGGTCATTTGTGTACAATAAAATTGCTCCTGATATATACCGTTCCTATTAAAGTAGGAAACTGTTCAATAGTGAAATCAACACAAAAAATATTTTGATGCTATTTCTAAATTCCTTACTCATTTGAAGCGTTTTTTTTAAAAAGAAAAATGGCTAATTTTAACCAACGAAATCTTAAATTTCTTTAGGTACCTGGGTATTAAATCTATGGTAATATACATTTATCTCAAGTTATATATATATATATATATATATATATATATATATATATATATATATATATATATATATATATATATATATATATATATATATATATGTTTTCAGATATTAAAAAGGCTTTCTCCTACAACGCCGTACGTTTCTATGACAACATTCTAATGCAGAGGTCAGGGCAACCGGTCAAGGAAGAAGAACTCTGTGGAGCAGCAAATACTGACTGCCCTCCCTTGATGGTTGAGGCCAATATAGCTGGTAAATTTTCAACCAACAACTCTTTTTTCAACACGTTAAGGAACTTTGGTTAATATGTAACAACCCACTCAGTCAAAATATAGGTTGTGTTTAATCTGGTTTCGAACCTGGTCCGCAGGTATGGAAGCCGCCTTGTTTAGCGAGACGACCAGGACTGAAGAAGATTTACACGATCGATTGTTTCCACGTCTCCTGGGTAAATATATTTAATTAATTTTTCTCGTGCAATTTGTAGATTTATTTACTTAACTTGGAAAAAGTCACTTCTGATACTAAGTCAAAATGTATTTTAGCAATGGCGGAGAGGGCGTGGCACAAGGCACCCTGGGAAGACTTGCCCAGGGGGGAGGAGCGGGACCGGAAGTTGGACGAGGACTGGCAGTCTTTTGTCCGGGGAGTAGGTCACCGTGTCCTGAGGAAACTGGAGGCTGATGGGGTCATGTACAAGCTCCCACCCCCCGGGGGGAGGTAAGACAAAAGTGGAAGGAGACGTGTCTTTAGTTGACGCTGCTGATGTGGGATTGGTGTAGAGATGATGTAGCTGTTTTTTTTTATTGTTCAAACTGGCTTAATTTAACATCTTTAAATATTATATTATGTTCTTATACACTTGTATTATTTTATTTCTATTGAAGAATCCAACAAAAATGTGTTGAAAATTACCGTAATTTAATCCATCCAATCGTTAAATTAAAAAAAATGACAATTGGCTACTTGGTTCCAGAATATCAAACGGCATGCTGCTGACCACTCCACTGTTTCCTGGCTTGAGTGTCCAGTACAGCCACAACGCTGGACAGACGTGGGCAGACGCCAGCGGCACGGTTGTTCGGGTGTCTGAAGATAATCCGATAATCTGGCTCAGAACTGTGTAAGTATGGCAGCACTTCATTACAATGAATGTATTAAACTTAAAAAAAAAGTAAACACTTTATTTAACTAATTTGTTCATGTTCCATGTTGAGAACCCAGTCGACAACTTTAATACACAAGAAAAAAAAAAAAAAATAAATTATTTTAGCTTATAGCTAACACAAAATTTATTACCAAGATATGATACGAATATTATTTTTACCCCCACAAGAATAAACGGACACAATTTAAATACATCGATGTTTCTGAACTTGGTAGTTAACCAACAATAATGGTTTTGTTAGTTGCATTCATTTTTTTTTAATACATGATTTTGTTTTCTTCTTCACCTAGGTCATCAGATGGCTCAAGATTCAGTAGGACGGTCACTCTCTACTTCAGTGAGATTTTATTTACTCTGGGTGTATACAGTAGAATAAAAACAATCTCCATTGAGGGGTTGTAGTGTAATTGTCTGAAAACTATAGCCTTTGGTACTTTTAATGTCATCTCTACTATTTTTATATATTAGTCAAACGGTATTGTTATAAACCATACATGCTAAGGTTAAGAGTACGACCAAAAT